TATCCAGCTCAACTAAAGTCTAAAAGATAGATAATTTACACTCTGTTAAAAGACTGTTTATACCAACAGTATACAGGTATACACATTCTTATTCCGAAATTTCCAGTTATTCACATACTTAGGTAACTAATTACCCTATTACAACTTTATTTCTACTGAGATCTTCAACAAGTGACAGGGTTAATGCTGACACACCTTCGCAATCATCAGGAAATACTTGTTAGAGAGACCAACCTTTCACCATTCTAAAATGATCAATATTGCACAGATGCACAAAGTCTCACAACAAATCAAAATAAATTTATGTATACAGTAGTAATGTAGTACAGTATTCTTAACTAATACACATTATATTTTTTCCATCATATTTATTTTAGAAAAAATGTTTAACAAATTATCTGGTGTTGTTGTGGCAGTACTGTAAACCCTCGCAATTAAGGACCTTAAATATTTCAGATTTTTTCCCCTTGGGCTCCCATACATAATGTTGTACAGTACTGATAATTTTGAAAAAAGTAGGAAATGGTCATCCATTTGATAACTTCTCATGTGAGTAACACTTAATACTGCCCACCTTGGTCTCTTGATTGGCCCAAATGGTTGACTTGACCCACTTGATGCTGAGACACTGCCCACCTTGGCTCTCACAGTAACATAGCCACACTCTCAGTTCTTTGTATGAACTTGAATCATCAACACATCACCCTTGTGTTATCTCTGCTCAGCTATAATTTGTACAATTCACTCTCATTTTATTTGTGGTTTTCTGATAATAATCTTTGTGCTATAGCAAAGGCCTCTGCTAGTATTCTATGCAAGGTTCTACCATGGAAGATTTTAGCATCTCAGTAAAGCTGAAAATAACAGACATACACAAGTACTGTATGGAACAAATTTTCAACTGTGCCCGCCTCTCCCTCCTACCTGCCAAATCTTTCTTGCAGGGTCGTTCCATCAATATTTTGTCCCTGGGTTCACATCTGCTCAGCCATAATTTGTAGTACTGTACTCACCCTTTACTTGTGGGTTTTTAACACTTATAATATAAACAGAGGTGTGCAAAGTACAGTACATGTACTGAAACTTGCTATCCATGTTATAGTACAAATAATTTCACAAATAGTTACTTAGGTTGAAATAAAAGTATCACTCACAAAATGTACCCGAGAGCAAAAAGGTACAGTACAGAATTAGTTTAAAATACACCCAAGTGGTAAGAGTATAAAGTAGCCTCTCAAACATAATATCAATAAGTAGATAATACAGTGAATAAAAGAATACTTCCTGTGTGCTTCTTTAACTTAATATGAGATATGACCAAGGATAGTTAGCACTCCCAGAAACATAAGTGATCAAAGTTACCTCCAACATTTTCAACCTACACATCATTTGTATAAGGTTTTATCCTTTCAGTGCTAAATACAATACAGCTCCTCCCCAACTTACGACGGGGTTAGGGACCCAAATCCAGGTTGTAAGTCGAAATGGTCGTAAGTCGAAAATGCTTAAATAATACATAGAAAATCTAAAATGGGTGTCACTTTTTCTTCTCAGCAACACAACTCTCACTTTTAAGCTTGCCAGCCATTTTAAAGTGAATTACAAACGAAAATTTTGTCTGCGTACTGATGTTGGGACTCGAAAATACGTAATTTGACAAAATTTTGGTACGACTGAGGCAGGTCGTAAGTGCAGGTGGTCGTAAGGCGAGTAGGTCATAAGTCGGGGAGGAGCTGTACAGTACTTGCCAATACCACACTTTTGCCTTCCTTTACTTGATGGGATATTATTTCCAATGTATCTTGCTATATCTTGGTTCCTCTGCACCACTCATTGCTCCCCCGTGCAGCTAAGGTGAAAATATCAAAAATTTCAGTAAATATCTGTTCAGCTTCACTAATCACATCACACTGTTAGATTCAGTACTACCACTTTTGTCCTTGAAACCTGACACTAGACCTAGCATGAGTGACCTTATTATATATGACCTAATAGGTTGGCCCAAAACACAACCATTTTGTTTTAGTATTTGTAACCAATAGCCAATGAGCAAATTGTTTCCCTCACCCCAGCCATCCTTCTTACCTATGGTATCCCCCTCCCCAATCTGGTGTCAGTTAAGAACATAAGGAGTCTGCAATAGGCCGGTTGGTCTGTGCATGGCAGCTCCTGTCGAGAGTTACTACCACTCTCTATCATCCATGAATCTATCTAGCCTCCTTTTAAAACTCTCCAGCGTTCCAGTTCTGTGAGGTCATGACTCATATCACACACACACACATGGACACACATCCTCTCCATGAAAGAAGGCATTCAAATTGTTTTAAAAAGTCAACACACTCCTGACCTGTTTTTTAAATCTTTATACTGTACACCTGTTTTTGTATTAATTATTGGCATGAGAAAAGTTTAAGTAATGAATCATCTATCAGTATCACAATATTATCATCTTACTTAATATGAATGACTCAAAGGTCCCAAGATTTCAAGATCCCAAGGTCGGAGCAAAAACCCAAAGCGTAATAACAATGGAAGGTTAATGGTGCGACCACTATTGCCCTGTGAGTGACATTGAAGGTATGTGATTGGTTACTTTAAATTCCCACATTTTCCACTAATTCCTCAGATTAGTCAACTGAACCACATTAACTTATCAAATGATTGTGAAAAAATATTTTTACTTTACAAACTTGGGTGAAAATGTATTAAACAGTATTAAAATAAAATATTTTCTCTTAAAATGTACTGTAAGTTTCAGTAAAAGTATTTTAAAATACAGTGAACCCTCACTTTACGCGGTTAATTCAACCCACAGGGAATGGCGGAAAGTGAGAAACGCGTAAAGTGAACAACATAACATATGGGATTAATTGAAATAGAGACCGGGCCGACCCCCAAACTCCACTTTTTCAGACACAATACCTACGTTGTAGTAAAAATAACTTCTTAATTTTATGATGGTATGCACACACAATTAATAATTAAGAGAAATATCAATAATATTAGGTTTTTTAACACTTACATTAGTAGAAAAGATGGCTGGGCATACGGGGAAGGGGGGTTGGTTCCGAGGCAGAGGGCAGATTATTGGCCCTCACCTGTATCACTTGTATCAATTGTATCACTATCCACCACAGAGGCTTGCAGGGCTTCTTTGTCAAACCCCTCAAAGTCCATATCCTCACTATAATTATCACTATCACTGACTTGGGCCGGCTGTGGTGGGTGGCGGGTGAAGAACTCGGTAATGTCTTGATGACTGGGCGACCTTGTGCGCATCCTGCTCGAGCCGCTTACACAACATGGCAGATGGCGGGAGAGGGCGGAAGAGATGGCAGGAGGTTTGGATCCAAAAATGGCGCGGCTCGCCAGCCGCTCTCCGCGTAAAGAGGTACACGCACCACGGAATGTGAGCATTCCGGTTTCGGCAGGGTACCGCGTAAACGTGGAAACGCGGAATGTGGGACCGCGTAAAGCGAGGGTTGACTGTATAGGTAATTCTGAGAATGTGGATCCTGAAAAATATTACTAAAGTATACCGAGTACAGTACTTCACAACTGCACACCTCCATTTATAGTGCTCTAAAAATGGCTTTCAGTGGTAATGGTATTCTAGCAAGAAACATAACATATTACATGAGCTTAAAATAATAGAGGCACCTGGGCCTGGAAGACATCTGGTGTAATCTGAGTAATCACCACTACAGTACATACTTTTACCTTGAGCTCATAGGAAAAAAAACAAAAGAAAGAAAATATAACCTGCACAGTGCAGTACAGTACTGGATCTAGATGAACAATCATCCTAAAGCTAACTTCTCCTAATGTCCCCAAGAATCATTAAGGAATTTAATCATTGAGTGAAATAAGCTGGTTACTTGTACATAAGGCAAACTCAAGATGAGTAGCCTTCTATAAGCCAAAGAAAGTGAGTTTTTGAGGGGACACCTTACAGAGTTCATAATACAGTACAGTACTGTATCTATGTTTTCAAGACTGGCCTTCCCAGATCCTCCAAGAGTTTATGGCACTGTACTTGTAATCTGGATAGGATTTAAACACATGTGGCCCCAGGAAAGCTTTACTTAATCAAAGGTTGAGAATATCATAATCTAAAATCACCCTTTTCCTTCACAATCAATAATATTCTGCATCTGTTAAAACTTATATTATATATACAGTATATATATGCACTACCCTGTATTATGAAATTGCAAACTTATAATGGTAAGTGTGTGGAAATACGTAAAATATTGGAAGAGGCAGTTAAACCAGAATAATGAAAACAAAAATACAGGATATCTGAAAATTCAGTACTGTACAGTCAACCAAAGAAACACTGACCCCACCCCAGTCTCGGACTCGCAATTTTACCTGGAAATACTTGGTAAAGTAAGGCTGCATGTAAAGGTAGCATTTTTATAATAATAAACTATCCATCATGATTTTAGATCATGAGAAGTTTCCAAAAGTTCGTACATTTGTTTAAATAATGAAGAAAGTTTGATGTGAGAATCAATGGCAACTGTAGTTGTAGTTGAGTTGCCAATTTATTAACATAATTTTCTTCATTACTTAAGCAAATATACGAACATTTGGAAACTTCTCATGATCTAAAATCATGATGGATAGTTTATTATTATAAAAATGCTACCTTTAGTATTATCCTGACAGTGATACAGCTGTAAATAGATCCACCAATCACAATCACCTCTACATACAGCCTTACTTTACCAAGTATTGCCAGGTAAAATTGCGAGTACAAGACTCAGTGCATCTTTGATTGACTGTACCCATTGTCTGTGTTCAAAATGTTCACTTTAATTAAGTTCATAACATAACATATCTGTAGGCAATAAACCACCACTGGATCTGTGGGATATGCTCATAGAGATAGTCCAATTACCTGATTTCTATTGATCAATTCCTTACTTTTTGAACACCCAGTAGTGAAAGGCAATGTAATCTATAGTATAAGGCAATAATGTAATCTAGATGCATGAAAAATCAGATTCTTCATTGGATCTGCAAAACAAAAGCAACAAGACTCATACATATAACTCAACACAAATGTAAAACTAACACAAACAGGAGAAGTAATACATGTAAAAATATAAAAAAGAATTGGGAAGGATATAGTGACAGTGCTGTATATGTAGAGGCCCACCGAATGGACATACATCACTACAGACAGGACCAAGAAACACCACGACAGAAAAAGTAGCAGAAAAGACATCAAGAGGCAATAACAAATACAGTACAATATATTAAAACTTAATGTAAAGTGGAAAATTAAAAATATTAAGACCAAATTTGATGTGTAATAAGAAAAACTGTAATGCAAGATAAAAAATAAAATAAATAAATAAAGGGAATGATGAGGAAGTAAATATTGTAGAAGAAAATAAAGTTGAAAGAACTGATGAAGAGGCTAAAGAAAGAAATTATAAAGAAGCTAATGATAAAACTACTGTATAAAGAAGGAAGCAAATAAGTGGAAGGGAACTATGGGGCATAAAATGATGAATAAGTAACTATGAGGAGAAAGATAAGAGAAGGAAGCAATAAATGTGTATTCTTAATTAGAAACAAAATAAGTCAGGTGGCAAAATGCAAGGACAGTATAGAATACTACTATGAACAGTATTTGCATAAGGGAATATAATAAAGCAAATGGTAAGTACCAAAGGTGAAAGCAGACAGAAGTAAATATGTTTCTCGTCAAGAGTACAGTACTGTAATATCTATAATGTACAACTTGACACCCTCACTCCTTCACAACAGAGAAGGTGCCACTCGCTGTGACTGTACCAAATGTCATTAGTACTGTATTGACAGATATCACAACCACCTTAATAAAGTTAAAATATCTTCAGTAGTTGGTTCAGAACTACAGTATAACTAAAATTAACTATCATTTTTTCTTCTAGCTTACATGTAGTTCAAAATAAACATTTGTCTTGTACATCAGAACATGATAAACAGTACTGTACTTTATAAAATTTTAAATTATTCCCATGACTTTTGCGTTGAAATGCAGCACAGTGCTGAAGACATCATAAAGCCATATACAGTACAGTACCAAACTTAACAAAAACATTTATTACTGGCCAATAGTTTTTCTTTTATATTTGTGCTTAAAAGACAGAGAAGGAGGAAATACCAATTCCAGATTGATTTTAAAGTTACCATCACTTAGGTGTTCAAAAGCTAGGTTGTGTAAAGTTTCAATATTTTACACATCCATTGAAACTATTGAAAAATATTATTCCTTGACCTTATTTGAATTTTTCCTTTTCAGCCCTTTTGACAGTCAATTCAGCACAAAGTACAAGATATGATAGTACACTTGATCTTTACATATACAGTACAGTATAGTACAGTACAGTAAATATAAACTCACCCAAGAAAGCTTGTAACTCTTATTAATAAAAATAAAAGATGATAAACAAAAACAAGATTCTCTTTCACATAACGCAATAGTAGTACAGTAAACCCTTGCTATTTGCGGGTTTGTGATTCACTCTTTGGACTATTCGCAATAAACAGATGGTGGCTAGCTTATGAGCCTCTCCCGCAGCGCAACGAGCCACCCCCCACACGCCCACAGCATCTTCTCTCCCTTTGTTTGCGCTCAACCATTGCCTGTGATGCAGCATCTTTTGTGTTGTACTCAAAATTGTTGTGTTTCTGTGTGAAATGGCCCCTAAAAGACTGCCAAGTGCTAGTGGAGTGAAACGTTGAGAGACCGCAATGCTGAGAGGTAACAACTATCAATCACAATGTTTTTCAAGAAGGAACCAATCGTTTTCCCAGCTGATTCGTGTCCCTCACTTACTCGGTCAGCTGCTGCCGCCACTCCACCACCCACCTCCTCGCCACCAACCACCACTGCCTCACCATCTTCCAACAGTGATCTTGATGATCTCCCTATGCTTCAGTAACCAGATTTAATCCTACTATACAGTACACTTCTTCAAGCAAACGTCCACATATGAAGGAAAGTAGTATTGGTGACTTAAGTTTCTCATACACAATATAGGTATACAGTCGTGGACTGAGTCAGTATAAGTTGCAATTTGCAGTTTTACCAATTTGCACCATTCCTTGGAACCTAACCCCCACAAATAGCAAGGGCTTACTGTATTGTATGAAGTCATCAATGTTAAATATGAAATACCTGTACACAACAAGTCATCAGTACAATTGGTCCCCATTAATCGTCTCTCCTTTATTCCTCGTTTCACATATTTGTCGGTCATCAATGAGGGAATAAATTGCCTTCACCAATCATTTATGTCCCACTCTTTTGCTGTTTTAACTACGTGCCATGGTGGAGTAATTAGTCAACACTTATGCTACTTATAGAGTATTATCATCATTTTTCGTCTATTTTGTGTATTCTGGGTCAAATTTTGAGGTTTAAACTAAGGAAGAAAATACTATGTTGATACAGTAAATATTTGTACTTGTTATGTATACAGTGTAGTTAGATATAAAAGAGAACCATCGCACTATCTGTGTCTAGCTATGAACCATCGCACCATCTGTGTCTAGTTATAAACCAACGGCCATCTTAAGTCCAGTCATGAACCATCGCACCATCTGTGTCTAGTTATCAACCATCGCACCATCTGTGTCTAGCTATGAACCATCGCACCATCTGTGTCTAGCTATGAACCATCGCACCATCTGTGTCTAGTTATGAACCATCGCACCATCTGTGTTTAGTTATGAACCATCGCACCATCTGTGTCTAGCTATGAACCATCGCACCATCTGTGTCTAGTTATGAACCATCGCACCATCTGTGTTTAGTTATGAACCATCACACCATCTGTGTCTAGTTATGAACCATCGCACCATCTGTGTCTAGTTATGAACCATCACACCATCTGTGTCTAGTTATGAACCATCGCACCATCTGTGTCTAGTTATGAACCATCGCACCATCTGTGTTTAGTTATGAACCATCACACCATCTGTGTCTAGTTATGAACCATCGCACCATCTGTGTCTAGTTATGAACCATCACACCATCTGTGTCTAGTTATGAACCATCGCACCATCTGTGTCTAGTTATGAACCATCGCACCATCTGTGTTTAGTTATGAACCATCACACCATCTGTGTCTAGTTATGAACCATCACACCATCTGTGTCTAGTTATGAACCATCACACCATCTTACTCTGTCCTGTGTCTAGTTATGCACCAGTGCAGTTCTTGTTTGCCTTTAGCACTTTTTGAATTTCTTAACCCTTAAGCCCCGGGTTAGGGTGCTGCTGGCAGTACCCCCCACGCAGGGTTAAATCAATAAAAAAAATCAACATTTCCAAAATTAATTAAAAAAATAATAACAAAATAAATAAATAAAAACTGGAGGGAAAATAGGCGGACGTTCTGGAACGTCAACCGGAGCCTAAGGGTTAATGATGATATGTATATACAGTCGACCCTCGTTAATTCGGACCCCTTTAATCCGGATTTTGGATAATTCAGACAAATTCTGAACTAAGCGAGGGACTGTCCGTATCAAATTTCTGGCTCTGGGATTGTCTGATAGATGGCGCGCACGCGCCAGACCGCCAGTCATTGTTGACTTAGCGCCATATTCGAGTATCAGTGTTGTGTTGCCCTGCAATTTTCGTTGATATTTCAGTGATTAGGCATCTTTCAGCCTTGTATTTTACATCATGTCTTCAAGGGGGAGTAATACGCCGAAGAGGAAGCATGTGACCCTTTCTGTGAACCAGAAACTGGAACTTATAAGGAAGTTAGAGGCTGGTGCTTCGGTGGCTAGAGTTTGTGACGAGTGTGTTGTTAAAAAGCAAACGGTTTCGGACATACGCAAGGCTAAGGACAAACTCACTGCATTTTCTTTGAAATGTAATGCAATATTAACCCCTAAATCGGTAAATTCGGACAATCGGCTAAAACGGACACCCTTCCCCCCCTTTTAGTCCGTTTTAACGAGGGTCGACTGTACTTTAAATTAAATCTTTATTTGTTATTATGTCCTTTGAATTAGGATTAGGTAAAGTTCAGCATATATTAAACTATACGTATAGTGTAAAGGTACGGCAATTGGTACAGTGTCGATGACTTGGAATGTAACCTAACCTTATTACGGTATTTTATTTCTTATGACAGAAAATTTCCCCAAATTTCATCAAATGAGCAATGTTAGCGATGAATAGTTACATCAATACCCCTTATTCCATGAACTCTTTAAGAGGGAAAATTTCCCACTATTAGACATTCAGCATTAATCCCTATTTATTTAGGATGAAGCCCAGACAAATAATGGGAACCAAATGTATTGACTTCCCTGATCAACAATACAATTTTAAGAAATATGTAAAGTTTTCTTCTATGTGCTACACTCACTGCTGATGATTCAGTCTTAACTAACACTTCCTAAGATGCCTTATATACTGTATAACACTTATGCTATAGTAAAATATATAATTTGGGCAATAATGCAGAACTCTTTAATGTTTCAGATGACTGACTCAAGGTCTTGCCTAATTTTCCCACTCTGGACCAACAATTAGGATAATCCTCTGCCAAGTCTTATCAATCTGGATTACTCAGTTCCTCTCTACCTTAAGTATTGCCACTTTATATCACCAGCTTGCAAGATCCTTTCCCATGTAGGTCCTGGCCCCACCCTTTACTTGAAAACATAAAGTAACAAACTTTTACACTAATAACAAAGAAACTACTAAGAACTCTATAAAACAGTACAGTGTGGTGTTGGATCAATCTAATTTACATAAAACTCAAGTTTTAATGAAGCATCCATACTAATCAAGAGTGGAAGCCTCTCATATTCCCATACTACGTATTTTATGACAAACCCAAGCCAGGATGTGAGTGCCTCTTATTTACCAGCCAAGCTCTGATAAAAATCACAACAATCCATGAAAACAAGCATTAGACATTTGACAAAGGCAGAGTAACACTCAGGTTACATCAAACACTCAGGTTACATGAAGAACATCAAAGCTCCACTTCACACAATAACAAGATAACAATTATAACTATTCCAAGTTAACATGCTAAGTTGGAGGATTATTTTGGCAAAAATAAAAGTGTCAATATATTAAATAAATAAAAAATGTTGAGAGCAATATACAAGTGAATACCTTCAACTTAACCAGCGTATTACATCACTTGCAAATCCTAACTTAAGTTAACATCCTTCCCAGCTCCTCTAAATTTTAAAGAGTTGGCATTTACTGAGAGAAAAGGGTCAGCTAACCCAGGGCTTTTACATATGAAGAGTACTGTAAGTGGCTTTACACGCACCACAGCTAAGCACTCCGCCTGTCTCTAATTATGGACACCAAACTGTCTTTTGGATTCTGTTGCCACTGATACTGGTAAACATCTTGGCTCTTTGTCTACCCACAAATATCACTTAACACATGGATGTATTAATATTTCAAAATATCTATAATCATATTTTAATTACAGTCATAGTTTTAATGTATCAACAATCCAATATTTCATGACATATGCAATGTACACAACCCCAAAGATGAGATCTTACTATGTACTAATCTTACAAACTGCTGTTATCCACCTTATCTTTCATATACTTGTACATAGATTTAAAATTAAACAATGTATTAAAATATTAGAACAAATAAAAAGACACAGTGCTGGTTTGCTTTCAGATAATCACCATGTACAGTCAGGGTCAAAAGTTTGCTCCCTCCCAAAATGAAGCAGTATCGAGCCCAAGTGAAATAAAACAGCACACCCGCACCAGATAACGTCAGGGTAAATAAAGTTCGGAGACTCATTCCCGTGATTCAGTTTCACCGCGGAGAGCGAACTTTTGTCCTCGACTGTACAATGGTTGAAATGATCACATTTCATAAAAAAAAAATTTCTTTCTAAATTCACACCTCTGGTTAGTGATGTCTTTATGATAAAAAGCTTCTCAGATATTATGAAATAATCTAAATCTGAAATCATCTTTTTGTATCTTTCCAAACTACTGTTCTGTAATATACAGGTATATTCCTTCATAATAAATATCCTTTCTTAATAATAGAAAGATGTGCCTTGTACTTATTACAAACATTCACTTTTTTGCTTATTCACTATTGCACCTAAGATATCAAGTTTAATCGTTATTCCTACTACAAACTCGACTTAATCACAAAAATGAAACATCCGTACACGATAAAATAATAAGAGAAATAAAATTTTCTCATAGTGTGGTAAATGTTCAAACTCAACAATAGAGTTATCAAAGTTTCACACTGACATATTTACTACAGTACTTCATATAAACTTTCATCTGCTGTTTATTTCATCATTACTGAAGTGGTATGTGTGATTGCAGACTGTTTTTTCTGTTCTATTTCACATATAAGGTACTGTATACAGTACAGTATACTCAATTTAATCTAGAGAGCACTGCTCCACAACACTTTAACATCATGAGTATACTTAAAAAAAGTGAAAAATTAAATATTGTATGATAAACACACCTACATTTCAAAGAAATTAAAATATTCTGATGCAGTCACTATCTTTTTGATGATGTAGTAATAACAAACTGTTTAACTTTCCTCAGGAGAGACTGACACAGTGACCCGAGATAGTAAAACATTGGAATCATCTGACCGCGGGTTACTTTCACATCTGATCTCGATTCTCCGGTCACTAAAATGTCACTCGCTTCGTCACATTTCTGCCATAGTTCAATCATAAAGTCCAACTTGTCTGAATTGGCTGTAGAGTCTGAATTAACCATCATTTCATTAGCACTAACCTGGGCTTCTGTGACAGCAAGTTCGTACTGAAGAGGAGTAAAGTTGATCTTCTTTGGAACTCTCTTGGAAATTTTCTTTCTTCCAACCCACAGCTGAGACACAGCTACACACTGGTACTGTGCTAACCTGTGATACTGTGTAACTACTGGCACACTTTCTCCATCGACTCCCTTTATGCGTTTCCCTGTTTCATTGTCATCGTCCTGTATGATGGATTTCCTCTTCTTGCTCCCAGTAAAGGACTCAATTACAGACACATCAATTTTCAAACACTGTTGCAAGGTAAAGTGCACTATAGAACAAGCAGCCTGTCCTATGTCATCTGCAGCTGTCATTACACTCTTTCCACCAGACACTGCACCATCAAAGGTAATATTAAAATCTGGAATTTCCAAAAATTCTAAAGGGAACTTGTGGATTTTCTTCTCTGCAACACTCTCAGGCAACATTAATGACACCTCATCACATAAGTCCTTCAACTCACCCAGTCCATTTGCCCCTGCAGGTTTTTCCTCAGATGTGCAAGTAATATCTGGATTTTTTGTCATCACTTCTCGTGATTCTCCTGACAGCACCACTATTACATCCTCTACACCAGCCATAATTTCCTTTTGCTTATTGGCCTTTGTTAATGTTGGGATGCCTTTGGTTTTTGAGACTGTGTGCTTTTTGTTCCTCTTTTCAGAAGAATTTAAAATTTTGATTGAATCCTGAGAACCATCGTCAGAGTCACCAAGAGTTATGACCTCTTCAACAGACTGATCCAATTCTTTAGGGGAATCATTTGAGCAAATCTCTTTAAGTACATCCTGTGTAATCTCAATTGTGCTAAGAAAGTCACTTAATGGCTGCTGTCCTTTTATTATATTCGTACATATTTCCGCAGCTCTTTTGCATTTGTACTGAAATTCTGTAAGAGGACCTTTTTTTAGTCCTCTGGTGCAGTTATGACTGTGCTCAAATGGATCCTGTAGGCACAGTGCAGTGTCCATCTGAAGGCAAGTTTTTTGTCGACAATACCATATCTGACATTGGGGAAGACTTTTCATGTCTCCTTTTAGGAGAAGTTTCTTCTCTATCAGCTCCCCAGCAAGTGGACTTATAACCCACCTTGAGGCATCCAATTTCTCAAAGTAGGTGAAGAATTCTGCCACAAGCTCCATGACAGTCACATTGTGTTTTCTGCTAGTCCAGTCTTCCATATTTTGGTTATAGCCACAATCCCAGCCACCAATGATAACCTCATTATAATGTGGTCCCCGGTTGTTCTTGAGATATGATACGGATGGAATTATTGGATCATCTCTTGTCATAAGATTGAAGAGCATTAGCATGGTTAAAGCATAATTAGTAATGAGATATGATGGCTGCCCCCCACCTGCCACATCCTGAAAGAAGAGACACAACCTTTAGTAAGAAGGAAGAGAAACTAATATTGACAAGAACATATAACTGAAAAATACTTAATGCAGTGTGACACAAACTGTATTAAACACACTTTCTGCATCCACCACAAGATGTCACATGCAGAATCTCTCGGACTTTATAGTCTCTCTCACCCCTGGAAGTCTTTTACTGCTATAAAGGTGGCCATAACACAGGCTCTCCCTCAACACAGTCCTTTGTTATCTCTAAAAGCTACAGCTGATGAGTTCTGGTATGGGTGAAATGTTTAATGAGGTTTTCTAAGTAGCAACGGATAACTAGAAAGCTTAAGAAACTGAGATGTTATTTCAAAATCAACTGTTATGAACTTCGGCTAATTTGAACAAATCTCAAGTTCAAACAGATTATACTTTGAACCACTCGTCTGAGTTTGATAATATCAGTCTGATTCGAACCTAACTGAATTCCCACCAAAGCGCTGCCACTCAACGGAAGTCAGTTGTCATTTAAACACGCTGCTGTAAACATCAGTTGTCAGTCATTCCCAGTATAGACCTATTATAGTGGGTGTTGTGACAAAAAATAAGGTGTAAAATTTAGGAACAACCCGCCAGAAAATGTTGTGACATCACCAAGTGTGAACTCTTTAAGGTCAGACTTGACGAACACTGGCACATGTTCTGATACATTCTAAAGCCTATACCTCCTCAATATTGCCAATAGTGTCATCATCAGTGTTTTTGACATTGGTGATCACAGTCTGCCACTTGGGTATGTCTCTTGCTGGCTAGATCAGCCTTCCAGCCGTCCATCCAACTCTAAGAGTTGACCAGTGGTGAAGAGTGTTAGTTTATATGTGTTAAGGCACTTTAAAAATTGTGAATAAGCTGTGGATATCACTAAAACCTTTGGCTTAAGTTTAACATACAGTACTGTAATTTCTAACAGTTTTTCATATTTCTCCTGAATGATGCCTGGCAGCTGTACAGAAAGAATATTGTAATAGTATCTTAATTTGTTGCCTTAAATTACTATATCCAATTGTGTACAGTACTCGACTATAGGAGTAGTTACAGATGAGAAGAGGAATTATATAAAATTTTCTCATCAAAAGTAACAGTGGCCATCATCAGTGGATGTTAGCTGTAAGGATGACAGCCAACATCAATGGCTGTTTCATGTTCTGTGTTCCAGTTTTTGCACACATGGGTGACAGTTTAGGGGATCCTTAACCACTATATAAGGGTTAATGCCCACGCCACCATGTACAACAGCATCTTTCAGACTGTGCTTTCTATTTTTGCTCAAAGTATTGTAGGTTATAACAAAATAAACTGTACTGTATACTGTAAACATTAAAGGGAGATGTGCAGATGGTTAAACCCTGTTAACTGACATTAAGGGAGGTGTGCAGATGGTTAACAGCTGTTGACTGACACATATTTGTATCAAGTTTCCCTTAACCGCACAATTGATTGAAATCATTTTGACTGAACAAGATGTATACAGTATACAGAAAATACAAAGAAAAGAGAAGTTTGAGAAGAAATTACAGACAAGGGACAATGCAATGAGAATGTGCTTCCCTAGTTCTTGTAAACATAAAAATTAGCAAACCTTATACAGTACTGCACATAACTGTTGAATAAAACTTAAACCTACCTGGATTTTGGCCCAGTATCTGATGAGCATCAGGTAAGGCCGGACCAGAGGGTGTGCAAGTGAATACTGAGAAATGAGGTGAGTGTTGTACACAGGCATACCATGTCGAAAAGAGAGGTCCACCATCAATCGAGTGCTAGTGTCCTCAAATTTTACAATAGGAACACGTGCCCTAGCAACAGGTTGAACCTGAGAATAAACTATTATTATTATACACAGCACAAGCAAAAAATTACATATATGACAAACAAGCTAGACTCTAATGTCTTTACTTACATTCAAATATAATTAAAAATTCATCATTAGAGATGTGGATGCACTCACAAGTATTTTGATTTCCAACTAGAAAAAGTATGAGATAGCTGTTAGCTCCTTTCATAATTGTAAGTAACATTGAGCTGTGGTAATATCACTGGCACTGGTGACCAACAATAGCAATTCTCATATTCATTCTTGTGTATACACAACAAAACCACCAAAATTAACATCCTCTCTGTATACAGTACAGTACACCACATCACAAATGTGTCTTATAAAAACCTTATATTATATCTATATACATATATATCAAACAAATGACTCAACACACCTTGGTACCAATTCCTGATTGCCTGATCTCTCGCGACAAATAAAATGTAATGTCACTCGCTTTGCATTCCGACTCAACTGTAATGACAAGGAATGAAGAGAAGTGTTAATATGAATCCAAAGATGAATCCCTAATGCTCACACTGATCTCATGTTTACTGTTTCTTAGTTTAAGTTGAATCATTAAGCTCAATTATACAAAACTATTATGCCTGAAATTACTCGACTATGCACAATCCATAATCCTTCTTCCTCTTGTATTATCAAATATGACATCTTTTGTCCTTACAGCCTCACTAACTCACTTTTATACTGTCTATATCATTGTTTGTCATCCTCTCCCCAAGTTATTACAGTAAATCAGTGAATAAAAGTACTGTATATATGTGTAGAGGTTTTCAATTTATCAATATGGCCACTAGATATATTACAGATGACAAGACTATGCAACAGTTTCAAGCAACAAATAGGTACTTGTCTCTGTTTTTTGTCCTCTGGAAATTGATGAAATCTCCAACTTCTATCACGTAGTCTGTAATTTGATATGCATCCAAATACGGAGCATTTATCAGGCAAGCCATAGACCTTCACACCACGACAGCCAGCTGATAACTGAGGTCCCACCCCGAGCCACCCTCCTGGGTGGTTGGCTTGGTATATTTAGACATTGTGTGGACACTTTCACCAGGCACCAAAAAGAGGTTGGAGGCCTTTGAAATGTGGTGTTATAAGTGAAAGTTAAAAATAAGTTACACTGACAGGAAAACAAGTAAAGTACGTACTACTAAGATTAGCAAACACGTTGAGAGAAATATTTGAAATGACCATATAAATATAAATAAAATATTTTGGTAATATAATTATGGAGGGCCAGGGGAAGGCGGAGACTGGGTTGGATGAATGAAATTAAAAACTGGATCCCCAGAGAGATAAAAATCCTTAGAGGATTGGTAAAAACAGTTGCCAACCCTCAGATATGATGATACTACTCTGACTGATCTCCTCTAAGCCCATACGTGTAGTACATATCTTCTTTTCTAAGACTCTCTATCATCTGCTTTAATGTAAGAATTAATTTATCCACCTTCTTGTCTAAAACCTCCACTCATAACCTAACAATGGTTCAGTAATACTTATTACTCTCTCAACTGATATCAACCATATTCCTCTATTATTCTTAAAATCATTCTGACTTACTTTAAAAGTCAAACAAATTCTTCTATAATTCAAACATTATACATCAGAACAACTTTCCTCTTTCTCACCTAACCACAGCATCAAACTTGACTTGACACTTCTGAAATACTGTTCTGACTGCCTTACTGCCTCTTTTATAATGTCTTCTTTCTTCCCAACTGTACCTTATCCATTTTTTTACTGTTCTTACATTTACATCATTCTTTACAAAGTCTTCACTTGTGGCTTACTCCTTCCCTTCCTTATCTAACACTTTCTATCCAGCCAAATCCCTCACAGTTATATTTCTCAATTTCATATGAGAGAAATTTGTCCTTACCCCCATGCTTCAATAGATTCTCTTGCTAAAATTGTCATCCATGGCAGTTAAAAAGCAGAAACATAAAACAAGGTATGGATGGACATTACTTAGTACAGTACAGCAAATAATGATATGAGTGGAGGAGCAGTGGAATAAAAATAACTGCAAGACACTAAGGAATGTAACCGTAATATGTGTTGCTGCTCAAAACACCAATTACCACTAGAGAATCAAGACTTCACTACTACAAGAATGCCTCAGTGAGTGAAAAAGTGCAAGCAATTCCACTTACCTTTGCTTAAACCCGGTGCCCATGGATTTATACCAAGGTCAACATACATATCAACGTCACAGCCCTTGAAACCTAAGTTGTTTGCTGATGATCCAAATACATATCCAAATACACATGGAAAAAGATGCATCAAGAACTGCACTATGTTCTTTCTGTCAGTAGAAACAAAGAAACAGGTAAATTTCACAACTAATTATAATTTACATAGAGAAGACCCAGCCAAGTCTAAACATTAATGTTCCTTCCAAATCCAGGAATTATAAATGTCACGAACAACTGTGTCTGTTGTGAAAATAGGGTTATTCACTTAAACTCCCAAAACAATTGTTATTTTCACTTGAAATTGTACCTAAACATTCTGAAAAAGAAAATAATGATTAGTAACATGAAAATGTGATATAAATCAAACCATCAACAACTCAATGATCTGCTGAATATACTGTACTGTACTCACACAGTTAACATAATATTACTGTACCCAATAAAGCCACAATATACCAATATGAAAGTATTATACTGTGCATATATAGAAGAAGGCCAGTGTAACCTGAAGGATGTCTAATACAGTACAGTACACTGTACTGTATGGTGTGCAAAATAAATAATTAATAATATTCAACTCAAAAGAGCAATATGTGTAAGATCATAAGTCATATCCCTCTCCACCAAGAAGCAAGGACCATTATGCTGAGAAGTAAGTATGACAAGATACAAAACAAACATTTCTCTTCAATTTCATATAACACACATAAAAACATTTTAGACTACAGTACAGTATTTTCTCTTTACCAGTACTGTACAGTATTTAATATATATTATGATAAGGAACATAAAAGTATTAATATGGAGAGTATAAAATATTCTTCTGTATCTAAGCCTTGTAAAGGTATAAGGTATAGAGAGCGGTACAGTACCTCGATACACTGGACTAATTGGGGGCAGACCTCAGGCGGAAAATGGTGTCAACTACAGTCGTAAATCGAATTGGTTGTAAGTCGAAAAGGCGAAAATAATACATAGAAATTCTAAAATAGGTGTCTCTTTTTCTTCTCAGCACCACAAGAACTCTCATTTTCATGCTTGCCAGCCATTTTAAAGAGAATTATAAATGAAAATTTTGTCAGTACACAGCGCGAACACTAACGTCGGGACTCGAAAATACGTAATGTGAAAAATATTTTATACGACCATGGCTGTAGTATGTCCGGGTTGTCGTAAGTCGAGGAGAGACTGTATTACTGTAAAGTAAAGTGTTATATACCTGACCTTCGCTTCATGTGAGGGCTACTTTCTGCATAAACCTTACAAACTCGAAATCTAAAAGGTTGAATACATAATATTAAGGGGAAAACAGGGATGCATTCCACAACAATTTCTAGCAATTTTTCATTGGAAAGACACACTAAAAGACAACAGTATTGCTTTACTGAGACAATACAAAAAAAAAAAAAAAAACACTGAGTACCGGACCACCTGAGCAGCGACACAAATCTTGGAAAAATTATTTAAAATTTGAAAAATTATCTTGAGGATCATTGTTATTGTTGTGGAGCGATGTGACATGGACCACGTGGTCCCGCCAGCCCATCCCACATCAAGAGAACACAGCCGCGTCGCACTTATCTACGGGTGGCTATTACTCAGTGCAGATGTGCCAGTTCTCTTGAGACATAAATAACACACATTTCAAGAACAATGCCCAAGCAAGAACATTCGGTAAGGTCCCAAAGAGCAGAAAGTGCCTTACCATGAACAATGAAGTGTAAAAGTTGTGGGAAAATCACTTCAGTATGGTACAGAACTCTGATGTAACTTAGAAATAGTGGAAATATAATATAAAACTATAAAAAGGACCATGAGTGTGAAAAATATTCTGTGTGGGGGATGAGCATATGTATGGATGAGTTACGCTCTCTCAAATGTAATGTCACGGCAGCCAAGTGTCTCTCAAATCAGCTGGCTGGCTGTACTCGCCCACTCTGCTAAGTATAGTACTGTACATATAAGTAGCACAGTGCCAGAATGGGATAAGCACCACAACCGACCTAACATGTTTTCTTTGTAAAATGTGTAGTTCATTCTTCCCGTATCAGGTACAAGCGGTAGATGTCTCTTTAAGACACTGCAGTACAAACATGTTTGACAATCCAGTGAAAATTTTTTTATCAATGTGACCTTATTGTAGTGCAACTTTGGACGAGATTTTTTCACTTTTTTAAAAATGGCTCTTATCCCATTCAGGTGGTTGGCAGCTCATATGGTACAGTACTTTTACACTGACTGAATGTACAGTACAATATACATAACTATAATAACTTTTTACATCTTAAGACTGCTTTAATGGTATTCTTGGCTGATCATCTGCTGGTATAGTAATGTACTAGTACAGTACTACACAACATAGATTGTATGAGAAAACAGCAGTGAGCAAGTGAACAAGCTTATACTGAACAATGACAGAAGACAATGAACTTAGAGTGTCATGATGCGATAGTTTGAGGAGATAGGCTGCGAGATACAGCAGCCAATCATAGGCCTCCCATGCAGTCACATTACAGTAGTGGCACTTTACATTAGGTTTTCAGGAATGGAACCCTTTCACATATTGGGGAAGGCCTGAATAAGTATTCTGAGCAGCAAAACATGAGCCTGATGATGCTCACCTGAGGTGTTCTCGCTTCCGATAATCGTCAGGCTTCAGCTCAATCTCGGTGATCAAGGAATTAATGAATATGTCCAGCTCCTTTCCTGTTGCCTTCGTCTGTAGAAGCCTTTGTAGGGTCTGGCTTAGTTTGATGCTTCTGCTGCCTGTAAATAGATTCAGGGCATCAAAATGGTCCCATGTATATTGGATTTCAGCAGGACTTCAATCTTCATCATTTCAGACTGACCTTGTAACAATTTACAGAACATACATAAGCAGAAAGGTTATTTCTAAAGTCAACCTCAGCACTATAGGTACACAGTACTGCATGTCTCAACACATAATGATAGTCTACGAGCAATTCCACGTCCATACTGTAGGTATTTAACAATACAGTATAGTATTGCAATAATTTTTGGTCAAAGATTACAACCTAAAGGAGCAAACTCTTCATGAAAATACTGTGTTAAATAGTTAAGTGTAATGAAAGTTTTTCTTTTAAGAAAGAGATAATTAATAAGTATATGGATGTTTTACTGGAATTCCACTTTTTAAGAATTATCATAAAGGTGAGACAACCAACCTGGGCCCCTGCTCGGCTTCCTCGAGTGTTTGGCTGTCACTTGTAACCGGTTCTTTCCTTGGTAAAAAGTCTTCTTCAGAATATCCTTAACTACGTCCCTGTGACAAAATGAACCACATCAGTGCAGGTCATAAAACAATACTGTTAACTTCCATCGACTGTACACTGCCAACAAACACTTCTCAACACCTGGGCACAATATATGTGAGAATGAGCAGACTGGGGCTTGTCATCTCGAATGGTTTCAGATTATTGGTTCATTTTTCAGATTGTACAATGCTTATCGTGTTGAGAAGTTTTTGGTGAGTGTACATGTATATCAATTCTGTCATTAAAAATTGTGAAACAACATAAGTACAAATTCATCCATAAAATGAGAAGTAAAATCCTCAGTGACATAAAATTTATTGGTAAAGTGAACTGCACGTAAATTTATGAGCTGGCAACTGATGGCCACTTAGTTACTAGCCAACAGCATTGACTTCTTATTTAGTCAAAAATTTTGACACAACACAAATGTCCCCTAAGGATAATAAGACTGAACTGTCACTACTCACGACAATATAACTGTTATATTACCTTTCCACACTATTCTATAGTACTGTACTTCAATCTACTGCAATATATTCTGCAGGCACACACACACTCACTCCAGAAGCTACAATTGGACATAAATCCTCCTGGCATATGGTCAGTGGACCCCAGACCTGGGCCCAGATTCACTAATGACTTCCGGTTACCTTAAGTCCGTACGATCAATCTTAAGGCTGAAAAAAGACTAACTTATAGTTTATGGTGACCGTAACCGTAACACAGCAAAAGTTATGGTGGCCACCGAGCATCTGTAAGCTTTTGCAAGGCAGAAATAACTACTGTTTTCTCTACTATACAAACTGTCTCAAGACACACACAGCTGCCAGACATACAGTACTTCATGTGTCATTAGTGAGAGTGAAGCTGTGAAGATGGAACTAATGATTGCTTTAATTCATGACTGTACATTCCAGAGAGAAAGGGTGTTTAGGGATCCTTTGGACCCTCTACAAATTGATGACCACTAACTGCTACATAAGGATATACTCTGGCTAGATATGTCTGTGTTAAAATCCTTGAGGTTTTTTGTAAATGGTAGTTTCCAGAGTGTAGTTGATGATGTTACAAGTTAAGACAATCAACTGTGTCAAGAATTATAAAGTGCATTTGCTCCAAAATAACAGCACCAGTAATAATAATAGTTATCATTGTTGTTATTAGTTTCATTATTCTTTGTATTAATGTTATTGTTATGAATTAACAAAAATCTCATCAGTGAAATTCAGCTGCCTTTTATTTTAAACTTGTCCCTCCATTGTTCTTATCACATGTAACTTTATACATCGTCTGCTGGCATGGGTAACTTTTGATTGGTTAATATTCCTTCACAGTGTTTGTTCCAAGCATGGTGATTGGTCTGGCGAGGAAACAAAACAAATGCACCACAGCACCCTCTAACAGTAGCTTACTGAACTAATTGAACTAAACTTACTTGCAGTCGCTGTACAAACCTTTAGTGAATTGCCTATTCCCAATGTCGTACGGTCACCGTAGCCTCTCGAGATAAAGGGAGACACACACAATCAATGTTACGGTCAGGTTACTGAACCTGGGCTCTGATCCTGAATACTGTAATCAAGATGATTATCCCTAATCCCCGCCCTACCTCAACTCAGGAGACAGATCATGTGATCTGATTCCTTTGTTCTCTGTCTTTCTCCCTTTGTTCTGTTAGTTGGCTGAAGAGGGTCCTAGTATACCAGCTCCAAGATTTTGTCTTTTATTTCTCCAATGTGGGTTTTTACTTCATTTACCAGTGTGCCCATTAGGTACACTTTGGGAATATCATCTACTTAGCAGCTCACCTCACAATGTGTTACATTTATTTAATACTGTATTATTTACTTTATTATTACCTGGACTGTATGTACATTCAAAAAATATTTATGTTTGCACAGTACTATAGAGTATTAACTATAAATAGAATATTTTATGTGGCAGCCAAGACATTGTCACGCAGTGTATATGTTTGTTGGTTAGAATAACGAGGAACAATCTTCAGAATGATCCAGACAAGGTGCAATAATTGAACACAAAAATATGGAAATTGTCGAATACCGTACAGTAATATCAAAATACTGTACTGTATTCCGAACCCAGCTAATTCAGATTTTTCGGTAATCTGAGTGACCCAGAGCCCTCTTTTTGTTGAATTAACGAGGGTATTGTGTATGTGGTCAGGACTGTTGTATAGGTCAGAAGCGTGGATACTTTCAGCAGACACCAGAAAAAATGTTACAGGCGAATGTTAAAAAAAATGAAGTATGTGAAATGTACAGAAACAGAAAAATGAAATACAGTTCAGTACTTTGGCCATATAATTAGGACTGAGGGGAGAATGACAGAAATGTAAATGGGCAAAGTTGAGGGTAGGAGGGCCAGGAGAAAGCAGACTAGGATGGTTGAATGAAATTAGAAACTGGGTCCCAGAGAGATGCAAAATATTGGAGGATTGGTAAAAAACAGCCCAAAAACGTTTAGAGTGGAGGACTGTGGACGCCAACCCAAAGATATAAAGACGGTACTTTGATATATTTGATTACATCATAAAACCCGGAAGCTGCAGCGGCGTAAATGTTCGGGCATCTAATAACATACAGGTACAACACTAACCTTGTGTTTTAGCAAAATATTTGTGCCTTGTCCAGCAATGATTACCATTTAGACTTCAGAGGGTTCTGGTGGGACATAGGCTGCTTATGTAAGTTGTAAAAAGTAGGATATTTCTTAAACAAATAAAAATGGAATGTGTATGAATTTGGGACTGAAGAACCTATCTATTTTTCCAGAAATTCAGTATAGAATATCTAAAGGAAAGCAAGAAACTGCACTACCTAATGCCTCATTTCCATGATGGTCATGGCAGCAACAAGTCAAGGGGGATGTTGTCTCATGAGAACACAACTTTCTCACAATTAATGGAGAAATAATGTTATTGGATAAAAAAATAGCAAAAGGCAATAAAAAATGGAAGATGGTTGAAAAATGTGGTGTAAAAAAGAAAATTAACCTTGAAATCAATAGAGCCATTACGAAGTACCATGTGATAGGTGTACATCTTGTGAAAATCTCCTGAGCTTGACAATTATTAACATGCTACTATTTATAGTACTTGACAGACCTACAGTCAGACACATACATACCAAACAGTTTACATTAATAAAAATAATGGGGTAAATACTACAAAATAAAACTAACTTACGCAGTATGAAACTCGATGGTACAGGAGTTGTAGTTGTGGGTGATGTTACGTACGCCATAAGAAAAAAAGATTCCCACCATAGTCTCAGCACTAGTCCTTTGGTTAAAACCTGAAAGTACAAAATATTAAATATTAAAAAAAAAATTACTTTTAATAAGCTGGCAGTCACAGCCTCTTAAGGATTCCAATCTAGTTCACAGTGACCACAGAGGATTATGTAATAAAGGTAGCTACACCATGATATCTATTACCTGCAGATTTAATCCTTGTACCCTCAAGGTGAGATAATGCGTGCAGATACAACTATCTTGATCTAATCTTCAAGTGATCCCAACTTTCCCTAAATATTCATTACCCTGTATAGATAAAATTTCACACAATGCCAGTAATTACCTGTTACTTGGATGGTTCGGCTTCCTTCATCATTCGCTTGTGGCAGATTCCTATTCGTGAGGTTCTTCCGATGTCGTTTACCCAATATGTGCGTAATGTAACCGAGTCTGTCCAATGTGTGGGCATTGCAAACGATGCATGTAAACAAGTCCTGCATACGTACAGCATTCTTGTTTTGTTCCATTGTGGATATTTAAAAGTATTGCATATCAAGGCACTTACAAAATCTCTAGTTTACCACTTTGTACACACTGGACTTTCTTTCCCTTTTACTATGAATTGCTCGAGGTTGTGTGGCGTCAGCATTCTCCTGAAACTATTCAACAGCTGTGGTTTGTCATTTCACACAGTTGCATTCTTATCTTTCTATCAATTCAGTGCAGTACTTTGATGCAATAATATGTTCTCAAGTTGGAGTTAATACTTCCATTAGAGTTGCTAAGATAATGCAACTGAATATAATCACTTAAAATATTGTACTACTAAACTGCACATCAAACTCACACATGTTCTTAAAAACACTCAGGAATATAAGTCACTCTATTTAAAACAGAATCCACTCAAGATTCCTTTCACCGAAAATGTTTATTAACATTGCATATATGAAAAATGTCACTAATAATTCACAAGTAATGACTGAAGGATAAACTTAAAACTCTGCAGTCAGTAACACAGTGTTCCATCCCAGGGCCATCTGTCACCTACAGTGAGGTCTCCTCTGAAAGGATAAGAAACAAAAGGGTAAATTGTATGCAGATTTTCATACAGCCACTTACTAAAAAAGACAATTATGAAACACAGTTACAGTACAGTAAGTACTTACATCTGCTGGAGTCAGCTCTAACAGAAAATTCTAACTCCTGAGAAAAAGTACTTTACAAAGTAACATCCGAAACATGATATCCATAACATTTTCTTGTCACATAATCATCACAACCACTTTTTCAAAATTATAAAACATATACAGTACTGTAAGTAGTATTGGCACAAGTGACATTTTCTAAAAATAGAGAAAAAGGTGATTAAAGTTTGGTAAACATTAAAACGTAAATATCTTTAGAACCAACCAAACGATTTTCTTCTAGTTTGTGCCATTTTAAAGGAAATTTATCCCTCAATTACCTGTCAAAATCTTATTTTTGCTTTTACTTATGCCTATGACGCAACACAAAATGTAAGGTATGGCATTTGGATTCAATATTAACCAATTAATCTAACCTAACCTACTGTACACTAGGTCTTAGAGATGGACATAGAGAGGGACATTATGGCTGTGTTGAAGGTCAGAGAAAGCATCTGTTGAATTGTGTTCAGGAGAAAAACAATAATATAATTCTCATCCAACAAAACTTATTCCTCGCACGGTTTTCATCCATCTCGGGTGAGAAAGCATCCATGCTCTACAGATATGTCCTACAGTATTTAGATAAGGCATGCAATAATCTGGACTATAACTAATCTAATAATGATATGGCAGAGATCTTCTGGAATTCTGCTGAAAAATTTACCAGACAAAACACCATAAAGGCGCTTGAGTACTTTATTATTGTATCAAACTAAACAGTTTATCTTTATCCACAAATCCAAATGTTCCAAAGGTTAATTTATACTGAAGCTACCGTGGTTCCAGGAGAAGAGTACCGTAGCGTGGTTAAGTAATAGGTACAGTAAACTTCATTAAAAAATAATAATCAGTACATAATAACATTTACTTACATTCATGTTCTTGGCTTGTACCCGCTATTACACCTCACGCTCAACACTACCCCTGCCACTTCTATAATATATACAACCGTGAAGGTATATCACTTCAATATCTAAGTCAAATTTCCAGTATTATCAAAGAGAGAACGTAAGATAGGGAATAAATGTGGTGAGAGTGATCCCCTCTGTCCCTCAGCCAGACGGACAGGACAACAACTGGTTGATGAAGGACCACGACCCTAAAATAAATAAACATTATCACATTTATCTTTATTTTTACACATTCACATTAAATCATCACATAATATAGATAAGTGATTATTTTTCCACATTTTATTGAATAATATGGTCTATTGGAGGTGTAAAGAATTAAAGAATTAATCTGCGTCAGTGTTTAAACTGATGAATAAAATATTCACAAGGACCAGATCCTATTGATGGAACTATAGGAAAAAATGTGTTCTGTGTCTTATATTTACTATACACTCAATGGTTAAAACTTTGAAAATAGTAAAGGGGCACATATTATAACAAATAGAATTGCTATTACAATAGATTTAAAAAAAGATAACTAGTTGAAATTTTTATAGTTACGTTTTATTTGGCCCATACACATTAGTTTCTCTTATATTTTTTAATTATTGATGAGCGAGTGTAGAGGGAATATGAGGGATCGAATACTAAAAGTAAAAAGTAAAAAAAAAAACCACCTAACAAACCTTTGAGAACCTCACCTAACTTACCTTACAAGTGTTTTCGGTGTTTAGTATGTGCGAGGTTTTGTTTTCGATGTTCAGATAAGGAGCACCCATAAACTCAAAAGCAATTCTTAACCTTTTTATAGGTTAGGTAAGGTTTCCAAAGTTTTATTATTTTACTCACATTTTCCCTCTACGTTAAAGCCCTTTGAACAACCAGTATTGTCGGTTCAGGTTGTAGTGGATTCCTCCCCTACAAACGCTAGCCGACCCCGCGAGTTCCCCAGTGTATGCCTCGTGGTCTAGGTCAACCAGTGCCGCCTTACATGACTGAGGTCAACTATTAAGCCACGCCTACCTCCGCTATATAAGACCTGACCTCGTGGTGACAACCTCCCTAGACCAGTATCCGCCAGTGGGGTCGGCGGAATATGAAATAAGGCCCTTAAATCACCCATAAATGGGACAGGGTAGGCTGTCTAGTGCCTGTACCGGCAGACAATAACTAACCCATGACACAACCCTGACACACTATTAGCTTAGCTAGGCGGTCAGCCCGCCCTCTCTTACCTCCTCCTGAATTTCTTCAATTTCCGAACTATAACTTCCTTCCCCCACCTCTACTCTTCTTTCACCCCTCCTTTATCTACACAAAAAAAAAACACTCTCTTTCGACCTACACTAACCAGCCAGCAACACCTCCTCCTCCCTGGCGGCCCTCGCTCCCGCCAGCGACCATGGCGACCCACAAGCTAGTCCTCTGAGCACCCTCACCAACCAGCTCTCTCTACTCAACGCTTGTAACCATGCTGCCACTTCCCAGCACCAAGCTGCATTGTACATCCAATACAACATGTATACAGAGAGCACATTGTGAGTTTCCTTTCTCCATCCCATCCTGAGTGTGAACCAAACATCTCGTACCCCACAAGGTAATTGGTTAAAATACTAAAAAATATATAAATTTGCAATGGAAATATAATATATAATGAAGTACATGTACAGTACATATTTTTTGCTTTCTCCCTATATAAAAAGAAATATGAAGTTTCTTGTTCGACCTGAATCGAATCTTTACCAAATTTTCTTGTGTAATTGTTGATAACAGAATATGACCTTCATAAAACATTGGCTTAGTCACCAACAAATGTAAAGTCTTCTGAAACCAAAACTAGTTCCGTCTGTTTGTTAAGGACCAGAAAATTCTCATTCACTTTCACTTAAAGGATTCCACGTGCCATGCATTGAATTTCTTCTCTGATTTCAGTGGAATGTGTTCTAGTATTTCCTCAGGTGTTAAGCTTAGATGCTTCTGCCAAGAGGTAATAGAATTCCATCTCATGCTCCTGAAAGATAGGAGTTAGATGATGGTCAGTTTCAGCTATAAGTTAACCTATCAATAACGGTTGTGCATCTACATGACCCAAACCTGCATTCACTAAGTCAGCTATGAGCATATCATTGGTTACTGTAAAAGCCTGAATAGAGGCTTCAGCTGCATGCAAATACTGTATTGTAGGCACTGACTGTGTTAAGCCAAGGACTATACTTTTAACTTTTATTTTTATCCTCTTCACAATTGATTGGCTCATTAGCTGCTTGGGCTATCAGTCATGTCTCTGTTACGAACTGTTGGCAAGAAATGGCTCCTAAATGTATCTGAACCTGCTCCAGTGCTGTTCAAGTCTGGCCTTGAATGTGTTCACACTCGGTGACGTCACAAAACTCTCTGGCAGAATGTTTTGAGTGTTCACAATTCTCACTCCGAAAAAGTTTGCCCTCACAGTTTTCCGGACTTGTGGCTTCTTCAACCTTGAGCTGTGGCCTCTTGTGGGGCAGGCATCCGCCAGCTCCAGGTATGGACACTCGACTGAGTAGTGCCCTCTGAGATGATTATAAACTTCGATTACGTTGCCCCTTGCACGCCTGTATAAGCTAGGCAGTTGCAGGCATTCTAATCTCCCTGGATAGCTGAGGTTTCAAAGTGTAGGCACCAGCCTGGTGGCCCTCCTTTGGACATTTTCAATCAACTAACGGTCCCTAGCATATCATTGGGACCAGATGGGAAGACAATACTCCAGAAGGAGAAGCACATCACTCTTGAAGATCGTGATGAGCGACACACCATCCAGATATCTAAACGTCCTTCTTATAAGACCATCAATTCCTCATCAGAGAAATTACGTCTTCCCTTTGATTTTGGCATGTAGACAACTTCAGCGGTGTCCTCCATTTTCGCATTGACAGTATCAGGTGACAGGCTAGTGATGTGATTGGCTAAGCTGCTACTCCCAGTACTTGTTGACTATGTTGGGATTTTCATTGAATTGTTATAATTGTCTCACCTGAAAAAAAATCCTATGGTGCACAATCCGAGTCACCTATCTAAGGATAAATACCATACTGGCACCTACACAGAGACTCATTGGCATTTCTTATTGGTCACACCTGAAGAGCCTGGGACCAGTCACAAGACCATCTCTAATCAAAATAGGGCCTATGTCTCTCACCTGAATAAAATCGTCTGGAGTTAGTCAGAATAAAATATACTAAGTGTGCCATAGCCCTACAAAGGGTTAATAAGAACTGGAATGTTCTTATGGTAGTGTTCCCATGGGCACTAAGCAATCTATTAAGTAAAGATGTAAACCATTGGAGAAGCAAACACTCTGTACATTAAAATATTTATTATGGCCTATAAATATATTCAACAAAACTTCAGTACACATTATCTTGTGCAGTAGTTTCACACTAATGTTTTCATGAAAAAATATCACCTCTGTTAGATGACAATATACTGAACTTTTTGATCCAAGTTTTATTGCTCTCAATATCTGTACAAATTCAGAGCACTAAAGAACTCTGGTACTATCAATCAAAAAAATAAAATAAATTAACAACTGTTGTAATATGACTGAGTTAAACAAGTCCCCTAAAAAATTAAAAGTTCATTATATGTCACCAGTACCTCAATCTCAAATAAAGTAAAATATCAATTTATCAAAATAATAGTTTTTACCATTTTACAATATAACAAAGGGAGTTGAGAGGAAACAAAAATTACATTTTTTAAATATTCATTAACTAGCCACCAACATAAAAAAATTCTTATTGGAATGCTTATGCTGTAGTCGGCCGGAGAGAACCAGAATACAGTATTATCAAATATAACAAAATCAACCTTAAAGTGACTAGAATAAAGTACGGTAAGAAAAGTGAACGAAAAACGTAAACTCTTCAGTTAACACCACAAGGAGCAGGACTCTGGAGATAAAGTATAACCCATCCCAAGACTTACACTTCATTATGATGGTCACAATGCTTTTTTACTTAAACAAATTGAATATCTATGTTTGCATAATCAGAACTCTTATGAATCAGGACAGATACTGATACCTGTTGTCATGTATCATGTTGAGGAACTTACTTCACATACATAATCCACGTGCTTATTTATGGTATAGAGGCAGTCCCCGAGTTACGAACGAGTTACGTTCCTGGTCCCCGTTTGAAAGTCAGAAGTGTTAATTCCATAGGTTAGGTTACGCTGAAACACAACCATGCCCATACAAAACAACAATACGGTAATATCTCGTACATAACAAATAATGTAAATACAGGTATGGGACCATTTATCTGGCATAGTACTTGGGACTTGGGGTTACTGGAAGGGTTTTCCAGAATTTGGAGCACCAGGCAATAAATATACAGTAAACCCTCTGTAACTGGCTGTGAAGCCTCTGTTCAGAACATTATATTCACTCATAAAAGTAGCTTTAACTGTACACTGTAACATTAAAACTTAAAATTGTAGACATAAACATCAATAACAAAAGCATATAAATAGCAATAATGAAAGCAAAAATGATGCAAGTTACTGTACAAACTGTGTCACAGTTGCCCCTGCTGCTCGCCTTAGCGGTGTTCCTAGCAACGGGGCTCTGGACCACAGACCCTCCAACCTCTCCACATACTGTACTCACCACACAGCTTCATGGTGGAAACCCATAGATAAGTAAAACTTTACACCTTATGATAATTATTTAATTGATTTCATTTTGTGTGCATGTAACTGAGTAAAAAATAAAAAATTACAAACCACATCAAGCCAAAATTATTAGTTGAATGTAATATTGAGTGTGTATGTAATTGAGTAAAAAATAAAAATAAATTAAATGTCTGCCAAAAATTACAAGATTAAAATAATAACCATAACATAATACAGTACTGTACAGCTCACAGATGGAGAATGGTTGAAAATACCCCCACTCCTCCCAGAACATAGTCAATTTTTGGAGTGTTCCAGATACCGGGACACCGAATAAATGGTACCATACCTGTACCTGTAAATGAAGTGATGTTAAGCAATATAAAGTAATGTAAAAATTTCAAATATACAGATGTTTGTGATGAATATATTGGGATCCCATTAGTAAGTACGGGTGTTCGTGAGTCAAGCTTTCGTAACTCGAGGACTGCTTGTTGTATTAACATATATAAAAATCTGGTGTCCTTTTTATTGGCTATAGTACCTTAAGTAAACATATCAATAAGGAGTGATTTGAAATATAAATAAATTGGTTTCAGAAGTACAATTGTATATGCTCAACACGGCTTTATTTATCAACTGGCTACTAGCAAAATTGAGCAATTCAAGTAATGACTAGACCAGTTCAAATAATTTTTAAAATATCTTATTGTAACTGATTAAAAATTTCATCCCAACTGTGCTTAATCTCTAACCTCTTTTTATTCACCTCATAACTCAGTCACCATAGTTTATCCCAATAGAGCCCTTGACCCCTAGCTTTGTCGAGTACTCTTAGGGCCGTCTGACTAAACATTCAGTGAAAACCCTGTGAAGATGAGGAACAGACAATGAATACCATAATTACACACAACCTTTGATGGAAGGAATCTGTTCATCTTCTTCCTCTTAATAAAGACACATTGTATCTGTTCAAGTAACTATAGTTCAGTGATTGACTCATAACATTTTAAGTTTTCAGAAATTTATACAGGCTTCTATTACATTCATGCAGCTGAGTAACTACCTAGTAATGGCATGTAGCAGTTTATTTTCACCAAGTTACAACACAGATGCTCAGTTGCATTATTAGTTGTATAACTATTCAATAATGCAAAAAGCCAAAAATTCCTTAATTAAAATTATATCATTCAACTCAAGGACATTCATATTGCATTTTTGGCACAAGCATCATTAAAGGCATTAATGCCCATATATGGCAAGTAAACAGATAAATTAATTTACTGGGGTTACATTTTTTGTTTATTAAGGGAGACACACTATGGCCCAAAACTATAAAAAAACATTTAAAACAAAAAAAATTACTTTATACATAATGCCCACCATACTGATCTGAATAAAGAGTTAGTGAAAGGGGAAAATGTTCACCAGTTATGGAAGTTAGAGAGCATTAAAACATTTATATATAATATTGTACTGTATTGTATTTTACATAAAGTATACTGTACTGTAATATAAAATACACTATACAGTACTAATAGTGTTTTTTTAATAAATTCATACTTTCTAATCTTAAAATACCAAGAAATAAGTTTCATAATAGCAAATGTTCTACTCAAATACCAAGGTAAATAATAATCAATGTCATCAGTCACAAGAATAATAATTTGACTGCACAAGCAATGACAACTGGCTTTGTATGAACAAGTGCCAGTCTAGGTTCCTTCTGACTTACTGGATTTACTGTAATTTTAGCTCAGCTGCCCCAAGAAAAGAGTTTATGGGACATATACTATTGGTAGTGCAAACAATGATAAGTATTATGTTCAACTGTACCTATTGGTGAGCTATATTGTCTTTAGGCATAAATTGTAAGAGGTTAATGCAGGTTTTACTTTCTAAATGTCAGTGCTCACTGCACCATTGAAAAACTAGTTTTATATAAATCCTCTTGACAATGTAATACAAGCAGATTTTCATGTGTAAATGAAACCCCTAATCATCACATACTCCCCATCGTTTGGTCCCAGAGTTTGAGCATCTTGATTTTTAATTTATTAATGAGTGATGACCATAATAACCAGCCTATAATTTCAAATAATATTTTCAGTATGAAACAATAAGAAGGAAGATTCTTTTATCCCAATTTAGTAAATAATTATTATAAAAACAGTTCCCAGATTATTTGGAAGTTTTAAACACAATTCAAAAGAAACTGATAAATTCTTAAAGTTAATTAAAAAAATTATTAACATATGCCCTGAAAGTCTTTAACCAGCTATTATAGTTGTAGTTATTTTTCAGTGAGCATAAAATCTAATTGATAAGCTATACGTTTTCCCATTTTTATAATATACTGGTAACTGTTACAGTACAGTTGTCACCAAAATTCCGAATGACAAAATAAACTTCAGGATAATGATCATGAAGCCAGTTGAGTTGACTTCTACATGAATTTGAACATGGCGAGTTTGAGAAATTTTGAATGTACTGTTCCAGTATTTCTCTTAATAGTCGGGCAGAGGCAGCACCTTTATCATAGTGTCAAGCATATGAGGATTACTTCACTTGTAATTTATGACTAACTCCTAATAAAAGAAAATGAGTGGGATACTAAAAATTGGCATTTAAAAATTATTATTATTCACAACTAATTTAGGGACCAGCTAAACAAATAAATATTGTTGAAATCTTCACTAGTTCTGACCCAAAATTGGGGAAACCACATTATTTACCCTTTCACTGTCATATGGGATATTTGTAGCAACAGCCATTTTTTGCATTAAGGAACTTGAGTTACTTGGAGAAAGAGGGAGGGCATCTGCCTTCTATTGTGTTTTCCTAATACAGCCAGTGTAAGTGTGAATGTCTGTCCTTTTTAAGAGAATAGTAGCTAGAAAACATTTATCCATCTTTATGAAGATAAGATATGGCCCTGCTGAGTAAGAGGTCAACTAAAGCTGGAAGCATTATTGACCTCTACTCATGCAATACACAAGGTCTTTAAATTTTACATATCTAAAGGTAATTCTACATTAAGCTACAGCTCCCCATTTCTCAATAAATGTTTTCCCCTGTGAGCAATTGGATTACTAAATTTAATAAACAAATAAAAAAATAGATTTAAAAGACAATACTGTTCCTGTTGTGTCTTTTAGGCAGGAAGATGCCAAGATGACTGCTAGACAAACTTGTGAAAGAGAGATCTGTAACCTGTACATTAGTCTGCACTGATCCCGGGAGACATGAGAGGTAAACTGAGGATGGAATATATTCTGCATCTTTTCTCAATTAAATGAAATGGAACATTGTGAAAAGGATCACAATAAAATAATAATAAATTCATTTATTATCTATTAATTTTGAATGAGAACAAGTAGGTTAAGACTTTAGAAAGCAACTGTGGTAGCTGATGGATATTCTGTAAGGAACCTGTGTTATTTCAAGAGCCAATCAACAGTAGAAGATTATTTTTTAAAGCAGTACAAAATATGAACATGGAGGTGGGCAAAATTGTATAAAATAAGTCATATTATAATTCATCTCCCTATACTGAATATGTTGAAGGAAATTGTTTATTTCTGATGAAGAAAAATGGCAGAATAAACATGATATATGTATACAATAAATGGTAATTTTGTAAAAAAAAATATATATACAGTATACATACTTTAAGAGAAAGTCTTCCTTCAGTTTTATGGTTCATATCTATGACAACAAATTATGTGGTATAAAAATGTTTTAATATATAATGATGAAAATGATTTGGAGCAGCAATGAATTTCTTCCATACATAACTCTGAAGTTGTGCTTTATGTAAAGATAAAAAACTTGCTCCAGTTTTTCTTAACATTTAACTCTAAAACACAGCCATAAAAGTTATCATTCATAGACTGCAAGAATGAAAGTGTCGGGTGTGGTGATGAGCCAACTCTCAAGATGTTTACAAGTAACTGCTGGCAAAATCTCCTAACTTGCACAAGTATGGAAGCACATGACAAAACCACAAAGGCACACATTTAAAATATCCTGAAGAAGTAGACACAACCTACCTCATAACATGGCTTTTCTTTGGCTTTAGGATGTTAAGTACCATAAACATTTAGCTAAACTAATGGAATGTGTAAGTTCTACTTTAAAAAGCAAATGCAACCAAATTTATTTTAATTACATTACATGTTCAGTGTTTTAAAATACAGTATAGAAAATACAATCTGAAATTTGAATTTCGATTTTTCTTTATTATACTGTACTGTAATAAAATGAATGTAATGCCATAAAAGTTTAATGATCAATGAACATGAAAAACTGTCGATGGTCATAATTGTGCCGCTCTATACAGTATACTTTATCTGATATGATATATACAGTATTTCAGCCAAAAAATAATATCTGCTGATTACAATCACATCAAAACATCAAGAATGGTTTTCACAAAATTAAGAGGAAGTAGAAAGCCTTAAGTGAAAATTCCTCTATCTGAGAATTATATTTACAATATTTAATTTCATAGTTGTCAACTATAAGTGTAATACCATCAGAGAGCTGTGGTATAAGAACAGGAAATATCCCACATACATCCACAGCACAAAAATAATCCAAAGATCTCTCAAGTTTTAAAGAATAGACTATGGGCAATATACTGTAGCATTCAAATACTTTGATGCTGCTAAACTATCAGGCATATCTTTTGTATATTGCAAATTTACCCAAAATTCCTGAGATACTTCTCCATCGACATCCCAAGAGGCTATCACAATATTACGATACGGCTGTGATTATACGGAGTCTCATTGTCGGTTATCACATAGTTTTTACCTTCCAAGTTTTAAAGTACTCCAGCAGAATGTCATATGCTGTTCTTCACCAATAATGCCTTCACATTATACAGGAGTGACAACATAATACATGAGGTGTTGAAGCTCTTTCATTCACCACCAATACTGGACTATTATTCACCCTATTTTCACTTGTTAAATTCTCATTACTGTACAATATTTAAATTCTTGGTAGCACTGTTGTTTAATGATTAATACTTTAATATCACCATGTCAAGTATGTATGTGAACAAAAATGTCTTGCACCTCATACATATTAAACAGTCTGTTTACACTAACTCCAAAATGTAGGTGAATAAATTCTTTTTCATTCATAATTGTCACAGTTCATTCACTTCAGTTTTATCAGTAACAGTGATAATTTAGTTAGCAAATTAAAATACAGTATGTAATTCATTTGAAGAGATGACAAAATATTGGCAAATTAACATTCTACTTTAAATGTAATGGAGACCAACTTAATGGAAGAAACTTAAACTCTTATTGCATTTGTAGATGGCAGCATTTAGTTGACTAATTCAACATCTGCTTCAGCTGTGGTTCTGACCACTCGGTTCACTAATTAAACTTCTGCTTCATCAGTGGTGGTGACGACAGTTGTGGTGGTGACCAGAGAGCTAAAAGGTTCAGAAGCTTCATCGCCAGTTTCCTCTGCACAGTTCCGTCTGGTGAAATACAAATATCATTAGAAAGTTATGGTAAAAAAAAAATGGTTCACTAAGTCTTTTTGTCTATATGTTGGAGTATATGAGAAAATCAAGTACGGTACTATTAGAGAAATTTATTTTGACAATATTCAAAGCAAATACAACATAATTATAATCTCATTATATATTTTCTGATATCTAGTTATATAAGGTGAATTATCAGTTTTAATTTATCATGTTGATAACGTAACTTCAGATAGACTTAAAGCCATCAATGGATTGGCTTATCCCCCTCAACTTTTATTTTAAAAATAGTGAGATAAATAATAACCTTCCTATACAGAACAGTACATAGATACTGAGGATAAATGTTAATCAAAATTCCCATAGATCAAACTGAAGTTACTTCTCAAACAAGGTTATATTTATGAACAGCCTGACATCTACTGTATGATTTCTGGATATGGGAGCAATTTTTTTGCGCTACTAAGTTTTCACGGCAATACAGTGCAATGAGCACAGATTGTGTTCAAAAATTAATATTGTGCTTGTGAAACTCACTTGTCCTCAATTGGCCAAAACACAATAAAAAAAAGTGCAAAAGTCAACCTAATTCCTTGGAAATGTAATCAGATTATCCAAGGACACATATAATGAAACCTACAATATTTCAATGATCTCCAAGTACTGTAATACTTTTTAATTAATCCTACCAACAATCAGAATCAGGGTGTTTATTTCAGTACCTGTACATGAACCAGTAACTTAGAACTCACTTAGAAAAAGTGCTTGTACTTTTCTGAAGTACAATGACTACTAAAAGTTAAATCCCGCTTAAAAGATGCTGTATGGCAAGTTATCATTATGTGCTACCCGAGACTTAGTGATCCCGTTTATAATATTGGAAACGAGAAATAATAATAATAATAATAGTACAGTAATTAAACTAAAAAAAAGCAAAATATTAGTTATACCTAATACTTTTTATAACTAACACTACAACAGTACCTTGACCTTAATAGTGTGCAAGGAGTGACTACTACCAAGAGTATTGTAAAGAGTACAGTATTTACCTCTGCTATTACTTCTACTTATGGTGGTTTATGTTAAATCAAATTACAGAGCTGTCAACATGGTAAGTTCTTTGTCTGAGGAAAAAATCAGACTAGTTTATATTTAATGATTAATGCGACATGAACAGGACTGAAAATACAAGTTATCTGCCCCTCATGAGGGAGATCAACAACAATTACTGGTATATTTACAGTAGGAGCAAATGGTACAGGGAACAGAGAAGTAAACAATATCAAGACTTAATTCATGAACACCATTAAGTAGTACTGTAGTATTCTAGTAATGCTAGGAGAATAATTTAACAACAGTTAGTAGGGTCACTAGAGTTTCTAAATCTCACTATGATTACAGTAAAGGTTAACTAAGACAGTTTCTTTGAGGTAGAATATAATGAAACTTGATAATGATTCACTAAAAATAATAACTGTATACTATACTGTATATGCATTAAACTATCTCTTTTGTCAAATGGAATAATTATATGTATTAAACTATTACCATATACTACAGTACAGTACTATATATATAAGACATAAATTAAGAAAATGGGTGAACATTGTAGGTAACACAATGCATAATGTATGTAGAGAAACAGTGAATGTCCTGTGCATAGATACTGTCATAAACATTCTTAAGGTATAAAGTAAGAGAAAAGAGCATGCAACAAACCTGGTTCAAGTCCTTCATGGCCAGGAGAGAATTCAGTGGGGTCGTGGAAAACAATGTTAACCCAGTGCTACTAGTATGTGGTTGTTTTTCTTTTTTATGAACGTACACAATTCAATGCAAGACAATTAGTACAGAAGATCTAACACTTCTACCATACGTGTAAAATCCAACCTTTATTAATCCCTCGAGCAGGAAAATTGAAATTATCACCACAAACTGTGAACTTTCATTCTCCGTGATCTCCGGATCAACAAACTTGTGTATTAACATTGCCTTCCCACTGACCGAAGAAATGTATTAGGAGTCAGGATCTCGGCGCCTGCAGCGAGGAAGGTTGAAATCAAGTGTTGAGTGCATGGCCAAGATAAAATTAAAGATAAAGCCTTAAAAGATATATATACTGTACATGCATGGTCAAATCTTCATTAATTACATGTCATTATTACCATTTCTTTTTAGAGTACACACACACATATGCACATTAACCGAGCGCAGATATAACTGAGGCTTGATTATTATAGTACAGGGTATAGTGCATATGGGGGTGTGGGTCTAGTGGTGCTATGCCGAATTAAGAAACAGAATAAATGAATAATAAATAATAAATCAAGGCTTCAAACAGAGTGAAAGTCATGTATCACCTAAACTCAGTTTCATATTTAGACAATTTATTTTTTAAAGTATTAAACTTTGAAAATACCTGATTAGGTATCAGTACAACCTCCCTTTAAAAGATTGTCACTAGCAACCCACATGAGATTTACTGTGATTCAGACTGCCCTGGACCATATTTCCCCTTAAAATGAAAACTGTTGCAGGCAGGAGTTTCATATCTGTGATTAACACGCCGAACAAACTGCCCACAACTTCATCCTCAACATGAAGCTGATGTTAACAATTACTGGTGCAAATAAAAGTTGTACGTGTGAGGGAGTTGAACTGTACAGTGCAGTACACAGCTCAAATTTTGGAGTAAATTATGGTTCAGGCAACCTTTATGGAAGACTTCTGTGGTGAACACCATCCATAAGGAGAAATAGTCCTCTCTTCCTGCTGTCTATATCCATTAAGCATATCTATGGCAACTGGCAAAACCACTTCATTATCTACACTTACCACCACAAATACATCCTTAAATATAATCACTACAGGTTACATATAAAATATAAAGATACAGGAACTGGCATGAAATGTGCAGCAGTGGGACACAAGGAAGGTGCACATTCATTAAAATGTGAGAAGCAGAAATATCCACACAGACTCTTTCATGTCCTAAACTTACATAATTATTCAGTATATAAAGTGAATCTTAGCAGCCACATTAATTCAATTTGCTTCTGAACTGATGTGAAGTGGTGTAAATTGATGTGGATGCTTAGCTTCACTTTATATATTGTGTATGTGTGTTGAGGATGTGAGCAAGTAAGTGTGAATTTTTCAACTTATGTTAGTCATCTCCTGTTACTTTCCACCCTTGTCTTCCACCACTCTCCAAACAGAAGTGAAAACAGTGAACATGTGATGGTAGAGTGTGTGTGTGTGTGTGTGTGTGTGTGTGTGTGTGTGTGTGTGTGTGTGTGTGTGAGCAGAAGTCAAGAGTGAGTAGGTGAGTGTCTGGGGTAATTATCACCTATGTGTATGGAGATTAGCATTAACTTCAATACAATACTGTATCTGGCTCAAGATACTATGGTAATACCATTTTAGTGTATTTCTAGAATATGATCAGGACAATATCTCAGACTAATCATATTATATCCAATAATTCTGAATATGAGAACTACATGGCAGAAGACCACATAATATATAGTGTGAATGTTGCAAAGAAAATGATTCATCACTGGAGGAGATGAAAAACCTGACATTGCTTTACTACAATCTTTGTGCAGTTCAATATAAATCTTTTATCTTTTAAACATCTAGTTGCCATCACCATGATAGTACTCCCAGGGGCCACTGTGACCAAGTATACTACTACTACTACTACTACAACAGTCCCCAAACTCTGTGTTGTAGCCCAATGTTACTCTCTTGTACTGTAAAAGGTAAGGCGAGTGATCCACGTGTCACGCAGTTCTTATGAGAGTATCCATCTTATATCAATGCACATGCTTGACCATGCAAGCATCACTGGCTTTAAGGTAAAACTACCATTGCCAGAATATCATGCAACATATTTAAAATTAAGCTAAAATATCTATATTTACTAATTCTTTTAGAAGAACTCTAACTATGTAAAACATGCATACAGAATATGTACCTGTATATATTAAAGATAATTTATAGCTTATCAGACAAGTAATAATGATTTTTCAAGACTAAAATTTTCTTGGTATCTTTTCACCTCTACCTTCTATCTCCTGCCTGACAAGGCAATCCATCATCTAAAACTGATTTGCCTATATAAAGTTTTCTTCATATACTTTCATAACTGCAAATTACAATCATAAGACAGAAGTAAACAGATCTTAACTATGAGGAAGTTACCCCGTTCACTCTGATGTGAATTACTGTAATCTGATTTGACAATACAAAATTTACCAATGAGACAATTGAATTTTTATCAATATGAGAACAACTGAATCAATACTAAATAATCATAACTATCCATAAAGCTGCCAAATATATTTCTGCCAACCAAAACTATATATTCAAAAGCATCTAGAAAAATATATGCAAAAATCTAGTTGCATAATTATACAAAGCTGCAGCATGTAACTAGAGAGAGAGAGGTTAAAGTACCTGTACACAGAGGAGGATGACGTTGATCTCGACCAGGACACCATGAAGTCTTTATGCTGAGTTCCTTTATTATCTATCAAGGCTTGTGTTACTTCATCAGGATTTAGACTGCACAGAACTGCCCGCACAACAAACCTTGAACCAAAACAATGTTAAAATTCTCAGTAACCATGAACAAATTACTTAATTTTCAAGAACTTAATCTATACAATAATAAGTCTATTAAAAATCTTGTGACTCCCGAATATGCTCTACCAATATTACATCATGAATGATTCACACTTTTATACATTCCTTCATTATCAGATCATTTACACAAACATACTCCTTCACTTTGCTTTTCCATTTGCACCTTTAATTTTTCCTAGACCTACTTACTGTAATTACAGATTTGGTAAGACAGCTGTTTAGGTCTGATGACTGTGACTAAGGGAGTGTGTTTTGCTCTTGATTCTGGCTGTCCTTTGTTACTATTGGTAAGAGTTTACAGGATTGAGAGAAAAAGGACCACCACACACATGCAGTCTTTCAATCCACACCATTCTGTACAGATGTTCATATCATGTTTAGTTTTCATATGTTTTATCAATCATTGCATTCATAATAAGTACGGCACACCAGAATGTTATTTCTGCCTCCACTAAAGTTGAAAAAGTCCCTTACTGCACCACAGCCATAATTCTCAACTATGTTAACAGAAACACAGATGGAAAGCCTCCACTTCTATTTCTCCTTCCTGAGATGATTAGGGGTAAATGAAGGCATATCAACATATACAGAATAAATTTTACAGGAATTGAAGATCTAAGGTGTGTATATAGTTAATCTTGATTCTGGCCACCTCCTATTAAGCAGGAAAAGGTGGAAACAGCAGATTTTTCCTTCTTGTGAGATCCTTCCACTGTAGTGCGAGGTGGCTGGGATCAGGGGCACCACAGTCTCTCAAACACTGCCACTTCCTCTTTGAGCTGCCTTACCAAATGTTTCCCACACTAGCTGCCTGTCTCTCATCTTCCACAACAAATCAAAGAGCATCACAAATCAGCAGCATATATATCTTTTAAAATCCACCCGATGCCATGATACATGCTCACTGTTGCTGTCTGAGTGTCCATCCACCTCCCATTGTGTAATCCCTCACTTTATCCTTCTATCTTCCTACTTGTCTTCCTCTCTCTTCTATCATCCACATCTGAATTACACTAAAGGTGAATTCACACATCACAATAATAATACCACACTACTTACCTGGGCAAGACTGCTAGTGTGGCAGTAAGCAGAACAGTGAGCCAGTGTATAGGGGATGACAACGCATGCGGCAGCTCCCCGTACTGACTGGGCGCCCCAAGACAGGCCGCACAAGTCATGGTGTACAGCGCACCAAACCCGTAGAACAGTAAGAAGGACAATACCAACCCAAGCACATGAATCACAGTCTGGAGAAGAAAGTACGATGTCAAATAAGGATGATGGAAAAAAATAAATAAAAAATCCTGATGCATACTATAATATTATACTGTATTCACATATACCATAAAATAATTGAGAAAAAAAATCCAGTAAACTCACCCATGATTTGGTTTCAATAGCAATATGCATTGATTGTGCAACAAGACAAGAATGCGTAACTGTCATGCCAAACTGGTACATCCCAGCGCTGGAATCCTCATGGAGCTGTAGAGACCATACATTACACTCATCAGCCTTACAAACTGTTATGTCAGGTGGGTGGGAGGGTGAGAGTGGATGATGGTCAGTAGGATGTAAAGAAGAGAGAAAAGGAAGAGAGAAGAAGGGAAGGGAAGGACTAAGTAAGAGGCAAAGAAGGAAGAACAAAGAGGATGGGAAGGAAGAAGAAAGAGGGAAGGCAAACAGCATAAAAGAGGGAGGGACACAATATAATGAGGAGGTCTTCTATAAACATCTGTTTCCTTCAATTACCTGTTGCTTCTGATACAGACTTAAGGACATGCTGATCCCCTGTTTATGCACAACTAAGTAAAACATTTTCAGCAGATAAGAAAATGTCACTGCTTTAGTAATGTCTTGTATAACATCAAGAGAGAGAGAGAGAGAGAGAAATTCCCAAATTATTCTAACCAGTCAATGAAGTGGGAGCTGGGTGGTGTGATGAGGTGAACCACACACAACACATTGCAGTATCTTCTCTCACAAAGGACTCTTGGACCATCAACATACAGTACAGTACTTACAGCCATTGGTAAAAAAAGAATTATGGCTTCCAAGAGATGCTCTGAACAGTCTGATCTCTCTATTACTTAAAGGTCCAATATTAAGTATTTTAATCCTACACAAAAAAGGATAAGAATAAGTAATGTGTGCTGAAAGTTGCCAACTGTATCATGGTGCAATTCCACAACAAGGTATTTCTCTTCTCTATGGAGGATGTTATTAACTGATAGCTTGAGATGGTCACAAACAGATATTTAGCTTACTATGTACGGTACTTTATGAAGGCAGTGTGGTAAAGGTTGGCAGTGTATCAACATTAATTATATTCACATTTGAGAGATGTTTTATACAGAATATTTGCTTAAGAACAACATGCCTAGATGAATAAAGGTAACTGTCTTATATAGCTAATTTCCCTTAAAAGATTAAAACATTATATTACATCTTTATATCTTAGAAGAACCTTCCTATAAACACAGGATTGTAAACATAATGCAATATAATATCATTATAATGTATCCCTTTAATTCTGATGTACTGTATAAATATTCACAGGCAAATTCTCTACCACAATGAGACCCTCACTAGAAACTATGCACTGTCCAGTATGCAAAACAGTTTCTTTGTCTTAAAAAAAAAGTTGCAAGTCATATTGGTTCTAATCCTACTGGACCCTAACCTAATCCAACAACCAGGAGTAAGGCTGCTTCTGGTGGACTGAAGGCCCATTAAAATTAGGTCAATATCATAATTGCTACAGGTTTTGGTTAGTTTTGGTCTAGTAGGAATGGGTAATAATTTGATTTGAGGCCAAATTGACTAAGTCGCCCACAAACAAACATTCCCTCAACTTACGACAGCGGCAAAGAAGAAAAGAACAATGGCCTGATACACGGCATCAAGGATGTTGACCCAGAAGCTGTGAGGCTTGTAGAGTCGGCTCTCCCGGCCCTGGGCATATAACTGTGGCTGGGCAAGGAGCACTTCTGCAGGTGCATCCTGATCATAGATGCCTGTACAGGGAATATGGTATGCCTAAATTAATACTGTATCACGATGGCCCCCAAAAATGGTAATGTATGTAAGTTAGAATCAAATACAAAGTTTGTTTCCTAAGCAGGTGAGGTTAAAGATGTCATAAATTTCACCTGTCAAAAAATATTCAGCAAAAAATTATGTCTGGCAAAATTTCCAGCAGAATTTTAGGATAGGTAACTCTTTTTCCCTACAAATGTTAGTGAACTATAGAGTGAGGAACATACCCACGAAGATAGGAGGTATGGAGGTGAAGAAGAGGTTAAACACCATCAGGTACATCTGGTCTATCATGCTGCTGCCGCTGAAGCCATTATATAACTGGTAGCACAGCAAGATCAACACAAAAGACTGTAATACAAACACAAGGTTACATGAAGCACTCTCAGGTACAAATAACAAGTATCACTAAGAGAACAACACACTAACATATACAGTATTTGGCTAGGACATAGTTATTACATATTAATAATTAAATATGATATATTATGAAAGAAGTAATGGCATTATATAACATCCTGTAGCTGTATGTATGACACACTCACACACACCACACCACACAGACATACACTGGTTAAATCTGAAAAAGTTTGAATACAGTAGAACCTTTCCAGTTTGCATACCTTTGAGACTGATAGTTTGGTGTACCTGTGAATTTTATGAACTTATAAGATGGTGCAAAGGACCTTGAACTCAACGTATCAGTTTTGTACAATACTCATGTTTGGACCTTAGACCATCAACACCAAACATCACAAACATACAAGACACCACTGACCATAAGATCCCATAATATACATATGCACTGTACAAGGAAATAAATGGAATCAAAGGTACAGTATAAACAGCATAATTTGTACTCATAGCAGAGCAGTTTGCACAGTACACAACTGAGATCCAGTATAAGACTGGGTGTTTATATAAATCCAAGCTAAAGTACAGATCTACACCAGAATAAAAAATAAAAACCAAGAGGACTTTGGCTTAAATTTCATCTCTGTTGATTTAGAAAAGAGAAGACAGAGGCATCCACATCAAGCACACAATACCACTTATATCAGCTACATGCTCACCTGAGGCCTTCAACCTATTCATTATTCAAACTCACTCGGTGACTAATCTAAATATTCCTCTCTTAAAATAGAGATGATGGTGATGGTGAAAACATTAATGGTGGTATTTGTTTATATGGTGAGGAGGTTGTGAGTACAAAGAGATAGTACTGTGGATGACTTTACATGATATAGGGTTAAATTGGGTGCAAAAAAAAAAAAAACTTTTTTGACTGTCTTGTTATTTGGTAACTTCTTGTTATAACAAACACAAAACATATAAGGTGTTTGTAATACAGAACCAAGTTACTCTTCACAGTCTGCTGAAGACAATGAACAAATGTTGCATTAACTCCCAGAGGAGGTTGAACCATCACTTGAAAGATCATTCCTTTCCTCATCAACTCCACCATCATTCTCTTCCTCTTCTTCAGGACACAGATCTTTTCCAAAATTTTATCATCAGTGAAGTAAGCCTCAGTACTGTATCTATGTCGCACACCTGTTGTATCTCATCTTCATTTAAAACCTGAATATGGTTGTTGTCCATGATTCTGTCATATACAGTACTGTACTGTACACAAAAACCATGTCTGGTTAAAGTCTAATATTATTTGTACAAGTTAAAGTTTCTGACCATACTTGACCCATGAACAATTAGCAATTACTAGAGGTCTTTCTACAAAATAATAGCTAAGAATTAAGGCCCTATGCATACAAATCACTTAACTAAAACAAATAGATAAACTAAGGTTCTACTCACAGCATTCTTGTAGAAAAAATATAAAATAATACGGGACAGTCGATCATAGCACCAATGGCCATGGACTAGCAGCAATTTTTCTAGGTGGCGAAAGCGTGCAATGGCATAATCTGAAGCCATCACTGCTTGTCTACCTTCTACCCCTGAGATGCCAACACCCACATCTGCTGTCTGATGGTTGAGGGAAACAGAAACAATATTAGCAACTAAAGCTAATCATTACCTGTAACTCCAGAAAATAAATGAATGTTTGCAGTATTTATCTAACTAAATGCATTGGTACTTTTGATCAAATGTATCTAATGAACCAATTTCAATCTCTGTCATTTGCCAGATCATATGATGAGTCATGAGAGACTTTAAAACCTTCCTTAAAGAACTGATTATTATACATATCCAGTAGAATATAAGGTACTGTGTATATATATATATATGTGTGTGTGTGTGTGTGTGTGTGAGTAGCAAAGCACTGACACAGATAACTATGAGAAATGTACCAACTTATATGTTTGGACAATTCTGCATCAGCAACTTGTCATACTTCAGATAAACACTGAGATTGCATGTGGCTTTAGCACTTGTTACTTGTATGTTGTGTGAAGATCATGTACAGCATATATCCAGTGTGGGGGGTTTTAGGATGGTGGTTGTTGTTTGTTTATGTAACATATCACTAAACTCTGATATTGGTAAGTTATTGGCCCTCAGTGTTTCAGCCACCTGTTGGAGAAGTTACCCGGTCCTGTGTCTTGGAATAATTTCATGACTGTGTGGATCTTGTGTGTAGTTAAGGTTTTAATGAAACTCTAACTCCTATCTTCTGTAAACATATTTCTCTTACCCCCAAAAATATAATATACCTGTATATATAACTCAATCTTAATGTCCTTATTCCTCTTTCATTTATAGTCAGTGTGGATCAAGGAATAAGAAATATGGAGGGGAAACAGGAGACGAATCACAAAATTGCTCTCTCTCTCTCCCTCCCTCCCTGGGTATACGATCTACGGCTTCTCACCTGGATCATCGAGACATCATTTGCACCGTCACCAACAGCTAGGGTGAGAACTTTGAGGCTATCTTTGGCACTGCGAACAATGAGGGCTTTCTGAAGGGGCGTGGCTCTACAACATAATACTGCACTGCACTTTCCAGCCAGTGTAAGGAAGGCTTTCTTCAGGTTTGCTCGCCGGTCAAGAATATATCTGTAGGGAGAAAAAAAAAATATATAAATGAATAAATCAATGACACTGAAGCCAAATTTACTTAATATAATTGGATCATGTAAAGAACAGCCCACTTCTAGCTTATTTCACCTGATGATTAAACACCCTAATGGTACCCTAATCTAACCTGATTTCTATTAGGGTATTTAATCATAAGGTAAAATAAGCTAGAGGTGGGATGATCTTCGTAAGGTTTATATAGTAAAATTATTCTTGATATCTGAAAGTATAAACACTGCAGGATACAGCTGTTTATATATGGTGACACTATGTAGACCCAAACATTACAACGCACGCACACACACATACACCGGGAAGCGTTGGAAACCCTCCTATTTGCGAGATAAATACAGTCGCATGGTTGAGTTTCCAGAAGCAGCTAAAATCAACAAAGCAGCAAGAGTCTGTACTTCAATTCACACAAGCCCACACTGTATTATTCAGTTAGCAAATTGTTACAATGGCCTTTAGTGTTAAGTGCTTATTAGAAAAGTAAGCCTCAATATCAAACTTATGGGCAGTCTAATAAAATCTGTAGCCAAAATCCTTCAAGAAGACCTTGCCGGGGGTGACCTTACCTGGGATGTGAGGAAAAACAATGTTGAAAAAACTGGAGACTAAATAACGAGTAATTTTAAAACACACAAGAAATATGTTACAATACAATCTTTTCAACAACTTCCTCATGTAAAGGAAATTATTCACCAAATTCTCTGATGAAAGAGATTTAAAAAAGACTGAAAATTATTTGTTTTACTCATGTGTCTTAGTGTTACCTCACAACAAGCATCATCACTTCACACAAGCATTTACCTCACAAAAATAAGACTTACACAAGTGTTCTGCCGTCCACCACAAGTCCTCTCTGTTTCACTGGTTCACTCTGTCTGTGATTGTTCTCTTGAAAAGTAGTAAACTGTATCATTCCACTATTTGCTGCCACAGGGTCTGGTACTGTTCCTTGCATCTCATTACGTTGCAAGATCTCCTCCTGTTGTTTTATTTGTTGCAGGTAGAATTGTATCGTTTGCTCTGCCTGGTCTTTTGTGCGGGCATTTAACTTTAGGATCTACCGGAAAAAAGAAAAAAATATGGCATCCGAAAGCAAACAATATATTTCTGTCATATGAAGGACTTGAATGTATAGTGTTAAATCAAGTACATAAAGTGAATGTTACTGACAGAAGAACATATATATAGAGCATAACATGGAAACTGTATGACAATGAGTTATCATCAAGAGGACTGCTGTATAATTAAAGTGTATTAGGGGAGAAGCAGGGTGACTGAGAGAAGATGTGGGTGTGTATTTACTTGTCTCTGACCACTGTGCATAAAAAACAAAGAAAGGAGGGAGAGAGGAGGAGGTAGAAGTGAGCAGCTTTTTCAGAATCACAAATTAATATAACTAGAACAGATGTCACCTGAGTGTGTCCCAAAGCCAACCTGGGCATGTTATCCTTGTGGGACATTCTGAGAAGCTATAAATAACATGATGCAAGACAACTGTGCATGAAGAAAATCCAGAACGTGTCTTCCTGGTGAGGAGCTTTAGTTTTAATGGTGAAGACAAAGTAGAGTCAAGAGAATGGATGGGAAGGTAGAATTGCCTGAGAAGCTAAATACTTGTTTAGTTGACCACAAATATCCCTTGTATTCAATCAAGTAGCTTCTTGTGTATAACAAACAAAATGCTCAGGATATATCTTACCTCCATACTTGGCACAAAAAGTGCACAGGAATAGGCAATGTTGACGGCAGTTTCTTGCTTATCTCCTGTGAGGACCCACACCACAATACCTGCATTTCTCAGAGCTTGGATGGTCTCAGGAACACCATCCTGTAATCTGTCCTCTATTCCAGTAGCACCTGCAAAGAAAATTAAGTTTCTGAATAACTTTCAAATCCTTTCAATGAGTCTTACCACACTCAACTATCACTCATTTACAATGATAAAAAAATCTAAACAGTCTAACATACAAAACCAATTTGGAGTTCCAGTGTCATCATAGATCACTGGACACAACATGGACAGTCAGCAATAACCTAATGTTTGGGAAGCACAAGAGGTATAAGAGAGGAGGATGAAAGTTATCAATAAACAAAACTGCATAATATCAAGGTACTCTATGTGTGCTTAAAAAATAAAATTGGTCGATTGATGCAATGTTGAGAAAATTACCTCTGGTATCCTTGCACCCTGTTGTGTCACAAGAGCAACATGACATAACACATATGACAAGACAATTACACAGAATGACTGACAACACATGAGGGAGGAGTCAGCACTCCTCTTAATTTTGGTCACTGCAACCCTATCAGAGAGGCTGACGTGAAAAAGAGAGAAATTTTTTTTTTTAGTTTCTCTAAGTTTTACGCATCTGTTAAAGACTGCATGTATATAAGAGCAGACACAGGTGGATGAAGAAAGAAGAATTTTTCCCTGAGAACCAAACTGAAGCCAAGAACTGAACTACAGTTTAGACTAACCTATTAGTTTCAAGTTTTTCTCAATTCTGGTGTAAGAATCTTGTAGTTTGTGCTCTCTGTTTGAAAGAGCATTTTCTGCATCTTTGTGCTTCATCGCCCAGTCTTCATACTCTGAGTCTGTGAGGACCCGCTTGGCCATACACAGCACCCGGAGACCCTTCTTGGAGTAGTTGTTTAGGTGTTGTTGAGTACGAAATATTCTAAGTTTTGTCTTGTCATCTACTGATCTATTTAAATTGTCTAATATTGCAGAGTCAGCACCTGGAAAAAAAAATTATATGTAGTTATATTGAAGTCATTTTAATTAGAAATAATATCTTGATTTCAGTGTCTAAGTGCAGGAGAGGCCAGTAAATATGTTTTCCTCAAATCCAAAATAAAGTAATCAATTATAAGAACCTTTGATGTCTTTTCTAAGTTCCTTCTTGTATTTTCCAGAGACTTTTGTTTACCTACAACCAGGAGAACGTCAATGAGGAACATCCTTATTAAATGCAAGACTGAAAACATCTATACTACAGTGAATTACCTGTATTTCTTTGCCTCTTCAAACTCATGAAATAATGGCAATAATCCCTTCATATGATTAAACGCATTTACCCACAAAAGAAATGTGGTAATACATTGTTTTGAAATATCGGTAAATGTTTCAAATGATTAACAAGTATTTCATATCAAGTCAGTCTACAAATTCTTTCCTTCTCTTCACCAATTGTCCTTCTTTCGAAAGAATCGTGGGTGTTTGATATATTCTATATACCTGATAATGTGACTTGAATGGAGGTACAGTATGTGATAAGTGTCTTTGATTTAGGGGACTTCAGACAGCTCAAAAGTTATTTTAAAGTCACAATCCAAAAAAATTTCACGCATATTTACAATGATTACACGATATAAAACTTGTACAGTAATAGGATTATGCATACTGGGCACCAGCACCCCATTAAATTTATTTTACTGTCTCTCCTAATGTATAATCTTAAAAAATTATCCCCAAACAGAACCAAATACCACTTTATTTTCACATAATACAATTTTCTTGAAAAGTTTTCCCTTCTCTTGACTCTTCTTCCCCTTTTGACCAATACAGCTATGTAATTTTGTTGCTGCAGCTTTCTGTCCAACTTTTTTATTTTAGTTCATTGATGTCCAAAGCCAACCCCAAGCTCTAACAGGTACAGCCATTGAATTAACACTGTTATCTAAAGTCACACTGTCTCTGGGATGATTTCAGACACCTATAAATCTTCTCTTCACAGCAAAAGTATGATGTTTGCTGAGTTTCTGTTGACACGTATGGATAGCCCATTAGTTCACGCACCAAAGGCATACTTAACACATGGTTTTAATCTTCAAACTTAGTCTGCAGTGTAAAAACTCTCAAACACTGTCCAAAGTCACCCCCATCTTTCGGTAGTCTGTAATATAACTTCAACAAATTATATGGCACCGTTCTTCACACTTCTCACCTTTGCAGTAGAGGATTTTTTCTTGAGTATCAGGATGGCGGACGATAATAGACATCCTCTTGCGATTGGAATCAAACGGTAATACATGGAGGACTTCATACTCACACAACCCATAACCTGCAACAAGTGAGTGAGTGAGTGAGTGAGTGAGAGTGAGTGAGTGAGTAAGTTAGTGAGTGAGTGAGTGAGTGAGTAATTGAGTGTGTGAGTGTGTGAGTGTGTGTGTGTGAGAAAAGCTGAGAATCAAGATAGAAAGTGAGTACCATACATTACTCGTTTTCTTTTTTCCCAAATAGTTATTGGTTATTCAAGTCGTATTTATTACCAAAACTAAAATAATCAAATATATCTCTGTCGTTTACAGAAAAGATGGTAAAGGTGTCTCCAAGTACATACATGGGAAGTCCCTAGCTTGTAGTGAACACCCATCTTATTGAACTTATGAACACTTCCAAAGTTCAATGGAAAAACAAACAAATTAAAATTTATTCAAAGTATTTCATCTTATGTCCTGAGGATTTACTCCAAAGAAATATTGTACATAAAATTATTACCTGGCAGTGAAATCAGAATGTTGTGCAAGTTTCTCCTGAGCAAACGGAATCCATATTTGTATGCTGCATCCACTAAAGCTAGTTCATCTGGACTCTCAGCTTCATATATGGGTTGAATATCCATGGGTGATGGTGTGAGGGAGCGTGAGTCCCTCATTATGCTAGAGTTATAAATTTGTGCAGACTGAATGTTTAGGAGGGAAGGTCTCACTGGGGAGGTGTTCGGGGAAGCCACCTGAATATCAGACGGAATCTCGTGGATATTCTCGAGGTTGTTTGATTGGTTGATGGGGTTGAGAGTTATGCTTACAGATGACGGATTGTGATTCTGAGAGAGACTGGGAGGAGTCGTATAACGGGGCGATGACTCCGGGGTGCGTGGAGGGGTGCTACGAGGGGAGGAGGCTATTGGAGAAAGAGGACGAGAAAATGGGAGGAATCCTCGTTTCACTCGATTGAGTCCCCAGAAACTGGAACTAATACTAGTTGTAGAGTTATTATGGCTGGCATTGTCTACCTCACTAACACCTGAGTTGTTTGCATTATCATTTGGCACAATCATACCGCTGGCATTCATCTGAAATGAGAAAATATGAACTGTATGAGGGAACTGAACCAAACAAATACAGTACTGTATAGTAATTCAAAGAGACGATTGATATTGGAAGACATGATAAAAATAACGTTCAGGAACAAATATAAGAAGACAACATTCCCGAACTGACACAGTTACAAGAACACGACTTATAAAGCACGTTACTTACCGCATCACGATGGGGATACTTGGCAACAACAACAGTGTTACACGCAGCAAGAGTGAAGAAGAAATCCATGATTCTCTCTGAGGACGAGTCCTTTGGAGGGCTGAGAGCAGCAGGATTTTGCCTACTACCAGGCTGAGCATATATGAGTGGAAGCTCAATAGAAGCGAGCTCCTCTTGCAGTTGATTGTTCAACGTGAAGGTGTCTCGCTGACCTGAATTCTGGTTGGAAGAAGGACAAGTTTAAATCTCAATATCAAAATAATGATTCTAGTGTAAATCCAGAAATATAATACATACGGTATTACCATATGTAAAAGTATACTGTACTCACAAAACTACAAAACAATACTACTATTACAGGTAATCTAACAAATACCCTTACAATTTATAACATATTAAAAGTCGTGAACAAAATTAAGTCGTGAGCAAAATTGTTCCCTAACCTTGTCTCTGCCCTTTGGCCCTAAAATCAAGGTCATCAATATGTACACTCTCACCAAAACTTCTCAACGCTATAAGCATTGTGCAATCTGAAAAAATGAACCAATAATCTGAAACCATTCGAGATGACAAGCCCCAGTCTGCTCATTCCCACATACATTGTGCCCAGGTGTTGAGAAGTGTTTGTTGACAGTGTACAGTAGATCATATACACAACTTATCTTATATCACAACCAAACATAAATGGTTACACATCACAACCTCACACAAGTTTATTTTTTAACCTTCAACCTTGTACAGTATTGAACATTACTAAGCAACCCCTGGCCTGTGTTGAGCAGCAGGATCCCATATACAGCTTAGATGTACGTATATATTAAGGATAATTATAAAAGAAAGATAAGAGTCAGAGGAAAATAAGAGACAATAGTAAAGAGAGAATTTGTAGTACTCTTGGGAGTGGGATTGCACGAGTAAAAAATAATACAAATAATAATAATAAAAAAGATAAGAATTAAACCCAGAGCATCTTTAAGCAACTGGCATGTCTTTTTATTACTGATTTTAAGGCAAATATCTGGAATAAAACTATTTTTTGTTTCTTAAATAAAACTGTGTTACAAAACCTACCTGATTCTTGTTAATAACAGGTGTGTGGGCATAGTCGGTACCATTGATAGAGCATCTCTGGAAGACCATATTGTTCTCTGTGAGAGTCCCTGTCTTGTCCGTGAACACATATTCTACCTGACCCAGCTCCTCGGGGATGTTAAGTGCTCGACACTCTGTGAAGGTAACAAACAACACTAGATGATGACTATAATAAATGAACCACAAGGATAAAATACATATAGCTGTCAAACTAAGTATTTTAGGAGCTAAATATTTTACTGGATTTAGAAAATGTCTTGATTTTAGTCAGATTTATTTTAGTTTCAAAGCTAAATTGATTTATGAACACATTATACGTAATACTAAACTATTCAATTACATAGTGGCATGAAGAGTCATCAAACTCAATACAAAAACTATAAAAAGTTTGGCCAAGTTGTCAGTTCAAAGCTACTCTAATAACAACTTGTACCACAACAGTAAATGTCTTAAGAGCAGCTTACGTGTATCAAATGTCTTATCCTGCTAATGATGAGACATTCCAAAACTTTTCAAACAACAAAATGGGTCACATGTACATTAGGCACCGTGGCTTATTTCACTTGAAGATGAACCATTCTATTGTTAAGGTAGGCTAGGTTAGGTTAAGTTAAGTAATATTAGGATTGGTTAGGTTAGATTAGTGTTCAAGTGGTCAATATTTAGGTGAAACAAGCCAGGGTGCCTAATCTTCCGGTGAAACAAGCCAGGAAGCCTCATCATCTTACCTATAGTCTTACCACTCTTCTTGTCCTTAAAGTCCTTGTCACAATGGATGTGGTAGATCTGCATGAGCTTGATCACCTCTATGGTCACGTACAGGGATATAGGAATGATGACCTGGGGAACGTGAGATGTAAACAATATATACAGTACAGTACAGTGAAACGTCAATTTACTGGGCTATACAGAGATGAAAGTTCATTATTTCAAGGGCCTGTTAGATGTGAAACCCCCATTTAATGAACTACCTGTATATAGATGAAAGTCCATTATATCGAAGGTCTGTTAGATGTGAAACCCCCATCTAAAGAACAGTATGGGGAGAGAAGACTATGCAGTATGGAGGTTTCACTGTTCAGTACATGCATAGATTACCATAATTAGAAATATAAAATAAATTAAAAAAAGAAAATCATTGGTAGATAGGAACATCATTAGGAGTATACAAATTAGTTACACTTTACAATTATTAAAATACATTTGTATAGAACAATCTGGAAGCGGTGATAAGTATGGGAAAAAAAGATAAATAGAATGAAATTGGTTAAATGGTTTCAGTTTTATAAGAAGAAGTGGGAGTTTAACTTGGGGAATAGATAACATAAATGGGATGGTTAGATTAGGTTATGTGCTAAGGGCAGGGCATATTGAAAAGCCATTTAAATCATAATGGGGCAGTCTATCCTGGCTGAACCATAAGACATTATTTTTAATGTTTGTAATGAGAGATCGTCTTTTTTATCAGGGACTTTTTGCCATATGGAAGATGTGCCCAAGACAGGATACACTGATGCAACAGGTGACATTACTGTAAGAGTTTGGCTAGGTAAGGCTGGGTTAGGTTAGGTAAAGAAAGGTAAAGTAGGGTTAGATTAGGAAGAGTTAGTTTAGGTAAGATTAGATTAGGTTATGTTAGATTAGGTTAAACTTGGATAACATTAGATAAAATTAGGTTAGGTTAGGGTTGGGCAAGGTTAGGTAAAATTAGTTAAAGCTCATGTAAGAATAAATTAAGATAAAGTAAGAAAATGTGAAGTACGGGAAAACACCAAGAAAAGCAAATAAGGATGACAGAACAAAACTGGAGAGTGAGAAAGAGATAGGGGAAGCACTTTAGGAAACTCCATGTAAAGGTCACTTCATGGAATTATATACTGTAATGGGAAACACTGGGAAAATGTGTGAAGGAGGATGACTGAACCTCCCTGGGTGTGTTATGAGGTTCAGGATGGTAGGTTATGTCATTGATAAAAGTGCTTTGTTCTCATGTGACTTTACAGAGCATTAGATAGAAAAATTATGGAGATCACATGAAGATTAGCCCCCCCCAGCTTATTACACCTGATGATTAAACAACTTAACATTACTTGGAAGGAGGGGTTAGGTTAGATTAAGTTAGTATGTGTTAGATTAGGTTAGGTTAGCATTTTGGTGGTTAATATAAAGGTGAAATAAGCTGGGGCTAATTTCTCTTCACAAATATTAGGAAACTGGTATACTGTAAAAGGTACATCATAAGCTACCTCTTGGAATATTAATACAAATATGGTAAATCTCTTTTTTTTTCTTTTTTTTTTTAGGTAATGAAAGCATTTTACATGCGGCAAGAAGACCGATTATAAACCTGCCTCATCATTACTTGGGCTTACCTGATAAATAATAACAAAAGTCCAAAAACTAATGAAGCCAACCCAGACCGAGTTGTTAGAGAGCTTGATTTTTGCGAGTGATGAATCCAAACTGTTGAGTGGGAGGAATGGTACCAGACCTAAAGTGGCATTACCCTCATAGTAATTCTGTAGGTGGGAGAAATATACAGTACATTAAGTCATTTGAAGTTTGATAACAATGAGGTACTACAGCCTACAATGTACAGTACAGAATACATATATATGCAACTTTCAAGCTTTTGGGGGAAGCATTTTTGTAAACAGTATCATGGTGAGGCTAAAGGATATAACAGTCAGTACTGTATGGGGAAAAAAACCAATTATGATTGAGTTGAGGAGAGGCAACATTACTAAACTCAAGTCACATTACACTAAAGTACAGTATAGGTTTTATAAAGTGACTAGAAACACACAACTACAAGTATCTAATTGTATGGTGTCAATAAAATATACAAACACATTTAGCTGTTAGAATAAATGGACGGTGCCAACAGCATAGATTTAGTAATAAGAAAGGAAACATTCACTGGCCCATGACTAGGCATTAACACACAACCATCTCTGAAAATGCCTTCATTAGTGCCACCAACCATGGAGCCAAGATGTCTCTACTTCACCTAACAGACACTGATATTTCTGATCATATGATTGAAAGAGGGAATTCAAGAACACTACATTGTTTCATGGTTGTGAGTACAGTACAGTAGATGTAAAGTTTGGGCAATAATGTTAGACTGACGTGAATGCCCTTGATAGACTAAAAATGCCAGGTATATATTCCTTGACAAACATTCTAGTGAAATCAGTGAAGCGCATACATAGACAACCTTTAAATACATTGTAATGTGTGGCTAAGCTGGCGGAGCATGATGACATTGTTTCTGAATCTTTTTACATCATATTACACAATGGTTTACCTGCTTGGTTGTTCTCCTCTCCAAGTATAAGACAACATATATAGAGCTATAGCAAGAATCTTAAAATGCAGTCTCAGTGTTATTTGGTCGCCATCTTTATCCCATTGTCTGTGTGAGGTAATGCATTATCACCTTACAAGTTTTAAGGTAAATATTGGGATACGAGTCTTCAGCAATTGGTGGTCTAGTCCAACTGATTTAAGGTTTATTTTACCTCTAAGATGAATGTTAAGTCAAATTGGCTCAGCTGAGGTATAAAGTGACTTAATATGGCGTCGAAAGTGCTCAGAGACTGTCTTAACTACTGTTGGTGTGTTCCTGTGTCTCCAAGGAAGAAATTATACTTAAGAAACCTTGGGACTCTGGTAAAATTAGCTTAAGAATCCGGCAAATTTGACTTTTGAAACCTTGGAAAGCTGGCATTCTTCACTTTAGTAACCGTGCAAATCTGACATCATTGGGAAACCACAGAAATCAGTCATAAAATTGTACCATGGTATCTTTCAGGTCTCTCTAATCCATCTCCTCTAGAATAAGTACAGTTGATACAGCATTACAAAAGCTTTCAGCAGTGTTTTAACCATTTTTAGCCCCAGAACATTCTCTCACAAGCCATGATCATCCACAACGAACCTTGATAATATGCAAATCATCAATAAACACTGTACCTACCTGCCAGAGGCCAGACCCAGTCGCGGAGATTAGGCACATGACAAACAGGATGACAACACACCAGATCACCTCTATGTTCATCCTCCTCTCCAGCTTGGACCTCTTATACCTGGTGCCTCCATTATTCAGCATGGCCTTAGTTTCACGACCTGAAGCATCACATATATAAATATACTGGAATCACTTGTTAGATAATTCACCAAGTATATGTATAAATGCTAAAATGTGTGATTAACTGCCAGAGAGGGGTGCAGTTTGCTCCTACAGACATTATTCATGCGTAGCGGCTGAATAAGTTAAAATACAATGCGAAAGGATTAATAGAGGAATAATTTAGTGAAGTGTAATTTATGAGAAAATAAAATAATTAATAATTCATTAAAAAGGAGATAACAGATTCTATACACAACTTCACTGAGAGTAATGGCATATAGCCCAATAACTTGAAACTGTTCAACCCCTTTTTCAATTTTCAGAGTACTACTGTACTGTACAGTATAATACATAACTCTACTGTAATATTTAATCAGCTCAATACGGAGAGGTAACAGCTTTACCATTAGTTAACATCTAAAACAAATTATACCCGTAGCTCAAGAAGTTTCAGAGATGATGATTAAAAAAATAATACAAATAAATGTATATGGACTTTAACAAACTTCAGGGGACAGCTTCTGAGTGATACTGTACACTGAGCTGGTCCCATACATCAACACAGATCCCACTTTCTAAGACTTTGAAAGGTATTAATCCTGATTCAATCTGTCACAAACACTGAGTACAGTCGTAGTTGTTTTTGTCTTGACGAATATACATAAATTTCAGATTTCTAGAGTTCTAGTACTGGTAGTTCACAAAAAACCTATGAACAAAGAATGTCTCCACACAATAGGTTTGATACCCGAGGTGAATAAAGAGAATATAAATAGTAGAGTCGAGTTATATGGAAAACAACACCATAACGGAAACCTTACCGGCGTACACAACAATGCCCTCAATGTAATCTGTATTCCTGAGAGCACAGTCTCTGAGCAAGAGATTGTCTTTGGTGAGGGGTACACGTTCTCCTGACTGCAGTGGAATTGTGCCGGTGAAATGGTAGATCTTAGTGGAGGGCGCACCGATCTCCATCAGGAAATCAAACTTGGAAACCTCAAATTTATCATCCTGAAAATTTTTAATGATTTTAATATATTACAGTACTATACAAAGGGGCATTTTTATTATCTGTAAATACTGTAAATAAACAAAATTATTACAGTACTGTATGTCCAACAAAATTCAAAATTCTTCAACTTTATCCTTACCATTCCAAGTCCTTTAATACTTTGTCTCTGCTTGAGGTTACTTTCACCATCCAAGTTGGAAGACTCGATGAAACAAATGCCATATTCATCTGAGGAGTTGAGGACCACTAAGTCGGCTGGGATGATCTCGTTGCAGGAGAGGTGGATAATGTCCCCAACCCTCACATGTTTCCACTCGGTTTTAACGTATCTTCCCTGGTCTCTGAAAATACATAAAAAAGATACATATTTAGCATTTATAATCTGGAAATACATAAAAAAATACATATTTAGCATTTACAATCTGGAAATACAGTACATAAAAAGGACACATATTTAGCATTTACAATCTGGAAATACATAAAAAAGGGACAGTTAGCATTTATAACCTTTCAGTACTCCAATATATTTCAAACTCCTCAATAAATATTCGTTAGTTGTTCTTTATGGAATATTCAGTCTAATAAAAATCTCCAATGCCATCAAAGTTGTGCCAAAATAAACAAAAAAGGGAATGGGTGGATCCCTGTGACCAAGTCCCAGGTTGCTGATCTGACTTGATGCCCCATTTACACACAATTGCAAGGTTTCAATTGTTTCTCTTACTATTGACAATACAAAATACTGTACATATATCGTTTCTCACTATTATTTTTTCATTTTTGTATTTATTTATTATTAATATTATTATTATTATTACAGTGTTGTTATTATTATTATTATTTTATTTTTAATTTTGTATTTTTATTATAAATTTCATATACTATGAATTATTATTATTATCATAATTATTATTACATCCCCCCCCCAGGCCCCGATGTGGGTCAGTGACCTGTGCCACTGTGCCCGGGTGGGCTAATCTCCGTATGTATATATATATATATATATATATATATATATATATATATATATATATATATATATATATATATATATATATATATATATATATATATATATATATATATATATATATATATATATATATATATATATATATATATATATATATATATATATATATATATATATATATATATATATATATATATATATATATATATATATATATATATATATATATATATATATATATATATATATATATATATATATATATATATATATATATATATATATATATATATATATATATATAAAATCACAGAACAGGATAAGAGTAAACAAAACAAAACTGGATAAAAGAGGAAATAATGATACAAATGGATAAAAAATAAAATAATGACAAAAACGAATTAAAAGAGGAAGTGATCACAGTGCTCAGGGTAAAAATCAATATTTACTCTCTCTCCTTAGTGCTGGAAGTCAATTACCAGGAAAATCTCAACTGAGGAGTCTTGACCATATAACCTAGAAGGACTCCCCAGGTCTGTAATGTTTACCGAATTATCGTGTTTTTTTTTAGTAAAATTTACCGGATTTCTGTGGTTTCTCAATGATGCCGGCTTTCCACGGTTACTAAAGTAAAAAAAATGCCGGATTCTTAAAACTAATTTCACTTTATACCACAGTTGAGCCAATTTGACTTAACATTCATCTTAGAGGTAAAATAAACCTTAGATCAGTTGGACTAGACCACCAATTACTGAAGACTCGTAACCAAATATTTCCCTTAAAACTAGTAAGGTGATAATGCATTACCTCACAGACAATGGGATAAAGATGGCGACCAAATAACACTGAGACTGCATTTTACGAGTCTCGTTATAATTATATACTGTATACGTTTTCTTATACTTGGAGGGAAACGGTATGAGGATCTCACCTGAAGATTGGCCCCTCCAGTTTATTTCACCTGATGACCCAACTATTGCTACCTGGGGGAGGTAGGTTAATGGTTAGTGTTAAGCTAGGTTAGGTTAATTTTAAGTTAGTATTAGATTAGGTTAATGTTAGGTTAGTGTAAGATTAGGTTAATGTTAAGTTAGTGTTAAGCTAGGTTAGGTTAATTTTAAGTTAGTATTAGATTAGATTAGGTTAATGTTAGGTTAGTGTTAGGTTAGGTTAATGTTAGGTTAGTGTTAGATTAGGTTAATGTTAGGTTAGTGTTAGATTGATTGGGTTAATGTCAGGTTAGATTAGGTTTACATTAGATTAGGTTCGTGTTAGATTAAGCTGGACAGGTTAATATCAGGGTTGTTAATCTTATGGTTAATTAAACAGGGGACGCTTATCTTCAGGTGATAAAAAAAGTTAACACTTGAGACTGTGAGACTCCAGGCAGAGGATCCACCCACTCCACCTTGAGAGTGACACGGCAGTTCCTTGAGCAAACTTCCTCCAGGTACCGCCATCATCACCACACCTGTATCCCGGTAGCTCCTTACACCACCTGGGAAAGCCTTGGTCCACCTAAGGAAGGGGCAGACGGCGCCACAGTCACGTCCACAACACACAAAACTTCCCCCCTGACTCATTGTTCAACGTGAATTAACTCACGCACGATAAAAATAAAAAAAATATTACTGAACGATCTAATGTGTTAAGAGCCACCAGCCATCACCTCCTCCTCCTCCTCCTCCTGGACGCAGACCATGGCGAGGAAATTAAATATCATCATCAATTAAAGGACAGATAAAAAAACAAACGCAACATATCATAAACTGGATTACGAATTAATTGACAGGAGACATACAAATCAATGGTGGCCAGACGCGACGACTAGACGGAGTGACAGAACAGACAGACAGAGTGACGCTTAACGCAAAATCTATGCGCCCCAACAACAGTGATTATATCGACCGGTTTTTAAGTGTACATTCGCAAAGACAATAAAAAAAATGCAGGAAAGGTGTTGTGATAATGAGTCAACGTCAGCGGGGCCAAGGTGGAATTTCCCGCCAAATTGTCGACAACATTATCAAACACGAAGTATTAGGTAATGTAAAAGGATTCGGCCAGAACACGGACATGGATTTTTACTTTTATTTCTCCTACGTCGTTTACTGATTTATCTGGTTATTCTTTTATTTATTTATCGAGTGAATTATTTTTCGTTACAGAGTATTAAAGGAAGATGAATACAGTGGAATAATAATAAGGATTTCTCACTTGGTCGACAATGAACCAGGTGTATTCAAGCGGACCTGGGACCTGTTTAACAAGATAAATATATAAGATTGTGGCTACTGAAGACAGCTTCCCACCTCTTCTGAGAAGACCTGGATCTGACTGTGGCTGAAGGTTAAGTGTACAAGAAACAAGTTTTTATTTGTTTTTTAAGAAATTATTCGACTGTAAGAAAAATATAATTGTCCGCACGCAAAGCAGTTTCGAAGGTGTTGGTGGGAAGGTGATATTACTTATTGAACCTATCTTGGCTTAACAAAAACACTGATAATAATGATTGACCCTTGTGTACGGGGATGGCCGGCTCTAGGGTCACCTTGACGTGAATATGTTTCAGGTATAAAAGCTGTCGCCCACGCAACAACCACACCCTATGTTAACCAGTTGTATGACCCAGTGTCAAGGAATAATTCAACACGCCAACTGTATTACCTAACCAATCGATTAACACCCAGGTCCCCAATTACTGCTGGGTAAACAGAGGCAAATAGTGTAAAGAAACTTGCCCATAGTTTCACCCTGACCGGGGATCGAACCCAGGACCACCAGTTTACACCACAGGTCGCCACGATAGCTCCTCCCCCTTCCCTGACACTCTGGTCAAGTCATTCTCGTAATAGTAAATACAGCATAATCTTTACCTAACTAGATACAGTATACGAGACAGCATGTTTACTAAGTACAGTCTCTGCATAATGTCGACTCCATTTCAGTAATGATGGGGATAATGTTCTAGACCGCATACCACATACCCTCATACTAGTAATAATCACATGTGCACTACGATCAAGGTACACACAGTAATTATACTTACATGACGTACATAATTATACTAAGACCACTGAGTATGCATACAATCAAGTAAATGTGGTTTATTAGTGCACAACCCTATTGACCTTTTCACCTAAATTCTCTAAATGTAGACCAATTCTCTACCCCTCTCTCTCTCTCTCTCTCTCTTGGTCATAACGTCAACTAATTCTCTCTAAAACATTTATAAAGATTCTCCACCCACCCTAACATCACCTTCCCACCCTCACCAACACAGGTTAGGTCAGCCAGGTGTCCTCTTTACAGGTGTTTCAGACCTACATAACGCGGCTGAAACTGAAACACACTGAAACAGAAATAAACACAATATACACTGAAACAAAGTGAAACAAACCCCCAAAATATACTGAACACTAAAAAAAATACTATATCAGTGTTTCCTTCTTTGAATTTGTCGCTATTTTAAAGTCATTTTCTTAAAGAGAGCAACGGTTATATAGCGAAAAGCAACGTTCACTAAATAAAGATCTCATAGCGAAAAACATCGTTAACCAATTAAACATATATGACCCACAGGTAGATGCCAGGTGTTAGGGGAATTATGATCCACAACTGTACATATATGTCACAGGTGTTAGGTCTATATATTACGGCTATACACCTCAGGGAAAGCGAGTTAACACAGGCTATTTGGGTCAAAGCTTAAAAAGAAAGGTTTGTTTGGGATGTATTTGGGTCAAAGCTTAAAAAGAAAGGTTTGTTTGGGATGTATTTGGGTCAAAGCTTAAAAAGAAAGGTTTGTTTGGGATGTATTTGGGTCAAAGCTTAAAAAGAAAGGTTTGTTTGGGATGTAATTGGGCCAAAGCTTAAAAAAAACCCGTTTGAATTATATTAGAATCGATTATCCGGAAAACTTAGAGAAATACACGTCGAGGTTCCATAACAGAGGTAAGTTCAGATATAAACACTTAGACGCTTTAGACAAACACACTCATAAAGGATCGCGGCTTCGGTTATACGGACTTAGCTACAGAGCGAGACAAGTGAGTCATGATAGGGACCAGCAGCGCCTCAGTGGACAGGTGTAGTCTCAGGTGATTACGACACGCTGCACACCTGTCGCCGCCCTACACCTGTGGTACTGACTCATCTCTCCTAACTACAGGTGTACACGGAAACCTCCGACCTACTGACACGGTACACTAACCCAGGCACCTATAACAGGTGTTGGAGGTGTGTATTGCAGGTGTCACCTCATGATTGACCACACTAACCTAACCTAATCTAACCAACTAAACTAACCCAACCTAACTTAACTACCCTAACGCTAACCTAGCCTAACCTAACCTTAACCTAACCTAA